ATTGATCCACCATGGTTTGTTGATTGATAACATATCTCCCTATGCATTTCAAGCAGCCCACTTGTAAAGCAGCATCAACTGAGGTGGATAGAATACATGAATGCTTACCTACCGTCCATATTAGTTGACATAAGACTGGGTTGGAGAAGAGATATGGGTGGTCGAATAAAAACATGGCATGGTTTTAGTCATATAAGGAGGTGTAAACTGCCTGGTTGGAGTTCTAGAGGTGCTAGGAACAAGCCCCTGAGAACTGTTAATGACACGGTTCGAAATCGTTCTCAGCGACCCAGATGAGATCATTCTATCTGAGCTTCTAAATCTAGTAGGTCTTTATTATTTTACATGTAATTATTCTTTCTTCCTTAAGTTACTTAGCAACTGTCTTCTCCATACCTTCATCTGAGCTTTAGGAAGTACGGAAACTTCAACTGCTGCATTCTTCTGAAAAGTTCTACATTGAAAATTCAGTGCGGTTCAGTTTAAAATAAGAATAAAGGCTCAGTTTCGGTGCACAACATAATACAAGTCGATTTACTGACTTATATATGCTACTAACTAACCAATGAAAACTTTAAAAGATGTTGTTGTATCTTTAAATTAAGATGAAATCTTGATTTACTCAAATAAATTGATCCTTCAGGCATGCGGTCATTTAATTCATGTGAAATCATAATAATGACAATAATATAATAATAATAATAATAGTAATAATTCATTAATGCGTCTGTAATAACATATATTTTCTCATTTGTTTATTTAATTTTTTCAATCAAAGAACATTGTTGATGTACTCAATGACACGATTATAAACATAAAATGTGTTTATCATTAAAAAACGTTTTACAGAATGAACACCTATTGTTGGAAAAACAGATCAATTTTTACTAAAATAGAGTGGGCGTCGATGCATTCATCTTACACAATTCTTAATAAGCCTTTGGCAATATCAGATCTCATGTGCATATGTATATATATATAATCTGAATAGAGTAAGCAAACGAAAATGAACTACATAAATCTAATACAACTCTAGGACAATAGCATCAGATTAACTTTTGGAGGCTGGTGATCATTTTCTTGGATGGATGATCAAAAAAAATATCAGAGCCAGACACTGATAGTCTCATTACAGGTGCCAAATTATTCAGAAGTCTGTGTTAATTTTAGGGTATAGTATCAGGTGATGCGAAGTTGTATGAAACGAAAAAGATAAAAGGACATTATACTACCCTACCTAATTGGTTGTGACTCATAACTTCTTCAGTAAATCAATTATTAAAAATCACAAAGGAACTGTTTAAAGGATTTATAATTTGAAACTTCATTGATACCTGAACAGCTAAAGTCCTCTGGAAGTTGGCTGCTTCAGTGAAGGTGGGAACCGTGAAGATTTTCACCATCAAATTTAGCACTTAAAGCCTCATAGTAACTGTGAGTAACGGAATGAATTGGACTAACTGGATACTAAACTGTCCTAACTCTACTGATAGACCAATTCAAGACTATGTGTTGGTTGGATGAACGATCGAAAAAAACTCACTAACAAGTCACCTCCTAACTACTGAATAAAAGACATAACTAATGCAGTTGATTTAGTTAGGAGTAAGTCTGAAGGTGATTGGCTGGTAAAACTTATGTCACTTTGTGCAAAAATTAACTGTAGACGATAATTAATGCAGGTTTGAGTCTTACATAGTGATTGGAGTGTATCGATAAATTTCGGAACGCACCTATCAAGTTACATATTTCTGCGCTCTGTAATTTGATAAATTGTGTTGATATGATTTTTTTTCGAGGTACGAACAATTCCTGAGTTATATAATCAAGTAATAAAAATTGTAGGTGCATAATATAGGGAAAAGAAATTTCAGAGTAGAAGCATGATTAAATATTAACTTTATTCAGAAACCAGAACAGATAAGTTTGTTATGACATCCTGTCAGCACAAATAACGAAGATCTCATCAATAAATGTCTTACAGAAATGAAGTTGATTGATTGTTGTTGACAACACAGGTGTTTTTTATAGGCCTTTTATGAAACAGTCGACCAACAGGAATCGTAAAGATGTATACTATGATACATCTCATTAAATGGAATTCGCGAAATATACCCATTAAGACATTGAAATAAGAACAAATTAGTTCAGCGAAGAGTCTCTTTTCGGCGAATTCATTCACTTAGCTGTACAGTCGCAAATATATGTACAATTATTTTGTGTGTGTGTGTGTGTGTATGTACATTTTTTTTTTTTTTTTTATTCCTTCACGTTCCCAGTGGAACATAGGGCTTCAAGCTAGAGGCTTGAAGTTTCTGTAGCAGTGTTTATTTTTACGGGATGGGGTTGCTGGCCTCATGCCCAACCTTCCCTCTTTACCAGTCTTATTACTGGCTTATCGAGGTATAGGAGTGCGTCGGCCGGGGATCGAACCCCGGACCATGTGCATGGTCGGCGAGCGCCCTAACCGCTGTGCCACCGACGCACTCACATTAGGTTTGTCAAAATCAAAATAACAGTTAGTGTGAGTTGTTGATTATATCATCAAAATAATGAAGAAGTTAAAATGTGTGATTAATAATCAAAGTTGTAACTAAGTGGGGTGAAGTTTCCAAACTCCTTCACTAGCATCTAATCTTTCTAAACATGTCTATATTACGTAACCCTATTCACATCTTACCAATCTTCACCCCACTTAGTTACAACTTTGATTATTATTCACATATTTTAACTTCTTCATTATTTTGATGATATAATCAATAACCCACACTAACTGTTATTTTGATTTTGATTTTGACAAACATAATGTACACACACACACACAAAATAATTGTATATATATTTGCGACTGTACAGCTAAGTGAATGAATTCGCCGAAAAGAGACTCTTCGCTGAACTAATTTGTTCTTATTTAAATGGAATTCCTTAAAATAACCGTCGGTTTCTGTTAGTGGAACACTTCTTTCTTTACCTTGAGTACATTTGTAAGGTTCACTTTCGTCTATCCACTGCATGGTTTCTGAGGTACCAATTTTACATATTCCTTTACCATCAAATAAAATGAATAAGTGATTTACTGATGGGAGAACATCTCAGTTACTGTCACTAAGAAAAAATGTATTGACATCGACATGAAGTTAAATAAAGGTCTAAGCTGTAAAACCATCACAACAGCCTCTATCTAGTATCCTGTAAAAAATTTATCATTCAGATATATAGCTATTTTCATATTAAAATACAGAGGCTAGTGCTACAACCAGAGTTCTAAACTTGAATAGCCTCGATAGAAACAGTCATTTAGAGAAGTTAATCAATCAGTCATGATTCATGCAGTAATGCAAGCGAATTCACTAACTTCTGCTTTGTTTACAGCAAGTGAAAAATTTGTAGCAAGGAAGAAAAGTAATTTTTGCGATTTCAAGTTATAAAAAGTCTGCACCGATAAAATTTTTGTAGATTGTGAAAACAATTTCTTTTTTTTGGTTTTTGAAGCAAAAATTAATATGAAGAATTCTGTATGCGATGCACTACTAAAGTAAGTGCATATTTTACCATTTATTTCATAGTGACAACAGAAAAACTATACTCATCAATGAATAACAGTTGTCAGTAATTTGAATTCCGTGAATTGTAGAAGCACACCTCTTGACGAAAACAAAGCATCTAGTGAATGCGTGAAAACCAAAAAGTATGTTCCGTGTGAAATTTGGTCACTTCCACAAGAGCTACAATAAATTAACAAAGGGGTCAAGAAATAGCAGCTTACTTAAGCAGTACACTAGTAGCTTTCAGTTATCTGAATGAATGGTTACTTGTCTCATAAAGTGACGACTAGGAGCTTGATTCCATAGGGATGTTAGTGTAAATTATTGGATTACTTCAGCATTTATGTGTAGAAATCACTTTCAGCTGATATGTAGAAACATAAATCTTGTCTTTCAGTGTTCACCAAGAGTACAGAGAAATTAATACAGATAAAATTAAGTGCTATAATCTAGGCACAGAGAGAGTGTAAGGATTACGATATAGATCTACGCATATTGTTTAATATAGTTTTACTTCATTACACTTGTGGTGAATTTATGAAAAAGAAAACGGAATTAATAGTTTCGAAAGCTCATAACTTTGAATGCTCAAAAAAAATTAAAGCAAATCCTGGGTATAAGTCAATAGCAACTTTGCACAGCCTATCGAAATGTTTTACATTGATTTGTAAGAAGAATAGGAACTATGAGACGAGTTTTATCATCATCATTACTTGTTGTAGTTGTACGCATAGCGGAATTCCTGGTGTACAGTGTATGTGCTCCAACAGGCTGACGGTTTGGAAGTTGAGAAATAGGGTATGACTTATCAAATTTTTAACTAATATCCGGAGTGAAGCCACTTAGCTGAGATCCATGTGAGCGCCGGACGTAACTCACTTTTTATAATAATTATAATTTGCTGAGTTTTGAAAAGTTGATTAGAAATAATTGATAACAAAAGTAATACTTAGAGGTACAATTTATTGTTATTATCATCATCAGCATCAATAATGTCAGCTTGACAAATACATTTGTAAAAGTAAAAATGACATTCTGGCAAGAAACAAAAATATTATTTAGATACAAGCATTAGTTAAGATTATTAGTTATGAAATCAGACATTGTTGAATATTGCAGAATAAACAGAAACGAAACGAAATATCTCAAAATTAAAACCATTTTAAGATGTAAATAGAAAAAAATTTCACCATGTGGTTTATTACTGTCAGCGTTTATATCTGACAGAATTATACTGACTCAACATGTGAGTTATGTTTATCAAAAAACCCAACACACAGCCAAATTATCATGTAGAATGATAATTTGTCTTTGTTTGAGGATGCAAGAAAAAGGTGAACGAAAGAATTGCACTTTACACAACAATCTTTGTTTGTATCGTTTTTATTTTAGTCAAGTGAGCATGCATATGCTTGATATGTCTACGAAAAATAACATTTGAAGTGATAAAATTAATTATTGCGTGACAAATGATTTATTTGATGAATTCTTTACCGGCTTTTCTAATGTTGGCGTAAAGACTGAATCAGAATCTGACAAAATTTGTCGTATAGTTGACACGACAACTGAGGCAACAAGAAGTAAAAAAGAAAGCTTTATATTGACTGCTTAGATGAATGATAATAAATTTGATTTCTACAAAAACAGACAAAGTCTTACTAGAGGAATTAAGCATTCGAATAATTAACATGCACATACATGTATATATATATATATATACATATGAAACATTTAATGGTTTGAGCTACTAGAGAAAAAATACCCATGGAGTCTATTTCCTGTTCGCTATATACTAATAGTAGTTGCGACTGAATGAGGCGATACATTTTTCGCACTAACTTCATTGAAGTTTTGTAATCATAGTGGCACACAGGAAGGAAGACTTTCTTCACTCACTTAAAAGTAACTTATTTTAACCTCGAGATAGTGAAATTGTTAATTTGCTGAATACGTTTCCGAATCTCTGCGGAGAAATTAGTCCCTTCAAGGTTGTAGATATATCCTATTGATGAGTGCCGACAAGCATGCAACCCAGGTGTAAAGTTTCCTGCCTAGCGCTTTCAAGCACCCAACAAATTTGATTTTCATCTGTTGTGAGACTAATTTAGTAACCAATCATTTAATTAGCTTTAAGAAACAGCAGTTCTGTCCAACATGTTTATTGCGTAATATATTCCAATATATAACTTATCTGACAACCGGAAGTTAACCATAAAAGTACAATCATGATATTGCACGTAATATGTACAGTAGAACATACTTTATATGAGTTTTATAAGGTCACTGAACCCTAACACTCACTGCAGGGAACAGGTTAACAATGTTCTTATAAGCTTATAAACTGCTGTCAATGGGCATCTATACACACAGTGACATCTTACATTTGATGACTCAGTCCTCATTAAAAAATGAAGTAGAAGAAATCTATTATTAGTTCAAGTGTGAAATGCCTGGCATAGTAGTAAACCACGTTGAGCAAATCATTTCTCTATCCATCTTAGAGACATTGAAAATGTCAGAATACTTCACCTAAAGCTACTCAGGAAGTCGTATGCTCAAATCACTTTCAGTTTACATTAAACATCATTATTCGTATAAATGGTATCGGCACAGTTCATACAATAAAAGCAACCAAGATAGCATTTGATGAACGCTGGAAGAGATAAAGAAGGCCTGCAACAAAGTAATCAGTTGACACTTGGTAAGACATGGAAGTTCAAAGTATTTATCTCGCTCATACATGAGAGTGAGTGCCTAAGGATAACCATAAATCAATGTTTGAAAATAATTTACCTGGTTGACAGTGTGGTAGTATACGTTCAATCAATTCTGTTACATCTTTCAACGCTGGTGGAGTATCTATCGTTTCAGGCTTTAAGGAGACATAAAATCTACAAAATAAATAGACAAAAAACCAAGTAAGGGAACTGAATGGATATTTTGAAAAATGAAATACTACATTTCTTTACAGAAGATAAATAATCCTCTGAGGGATATAACCATGGACTTTATATAATTAAAGTATAAGCTGATCACTTATAGCAGTGTAAATAACTTTAAACTGACTTTCATGTTAATCGACTGTAACCTTAAGAAGTCAACAAATAAATTCTGTTTTCAATCTGTGAGATACATAAGAACTCTGGATTGAAGGCCAAAGTGAACTCCATTCATTTGAGCTTAGTGAAGAAGGAATATTGGTGTTTACATTGTTCACAGCACCAGTGTCCACAGACAGAAATTCAAGATAAAACTATTACTGAAGTAGTACTGTAATGAATAATGTTTCACTACGTGTTATACCGCATAAATTTATCCACTGCAGAAAAGTACACTTAGTTAAGGGTATATATATAGCGGTATACTTTTCTTTACATACTCAAACACCAAATCATTCCTTGACTTCGCCTTATTATATTGTCCGTTTCTCACTACATCTCACTGAGTTACTGGAAATTAGGAAAAGTGGGAACCATGTAACACTGAATTTATAATGTTGTTCAACAGATGATTTTGTGTTTAATGGAATGAAATCAAAGAAGTCATGTGTTTCTGAAATAAACAGAATGAAATCAGACCCTGAAAACATTTAGACAACATAATCATTTTGTTCGTAATATGATAATCAGATGTATTACTGGCAATCAGTAGAGGGAATTTTGTTACTTACAAGCTGTGAAGCTTCGATCCTTTCGTAGATTTATTAGCTGGAAAATGGATGAAATGATTAGTGCATTTAATTGTCACAATCAAATGAAGACATAAGAAACTCTAAACAAAGAACTCGTTTAGCAAGGTTAATGATTACTGAGACAGTCTAAAGAAACAATAAATAGTCTTCTGTAAATAAAAGCTGAAAATCTCCGTTCTGTTGATATGGTGTATTAATACTGAGTAAGCCTCCCCCTCACACTACTGCAATGAAAATTGGTTACCTTCTTAGTGAATGTGAACAAATGCAACTTTTATGGATGTATTTATTAGCTTTTTTTAGAAATGTGGACTTCAAGTGGTAAACCTTTTCTGCTATTGTTACCTTGTTTAGTGTCCAGAACCATCCTTTTTTAAATCGCCTTCTATTTTATTTTTCTTTACCTGACTTTCCATATCTTCACTCTCATCCGAATTTACTTGACCTGTAGATGTGTGATCAGACTGTTGGAAGTACATTGAAACGAAGATATCATATTTTTCAGATATACTTTTTCTTCAAATAACGCAAATCAACATCTAAAAGCACTTCTTTGCATTCTGGCTTTCGTCATTGAAGATATCTTTCAGTAGTCTCACATTCCTCTTTTCGTTCTTTAGCTCTTTCTGAGTTTAATTCGTAAGAAACTATCCAACCTGGTTGCGAAAATGCGGGAGAAGTTCTGTCAAAAATGTGTCGATTGAACACATCGTCAAAATCTGTCATATTGTAATGACTAATTCTCATTTGAAAGGTATTTACCACTGCAGAAGCCGTAATCACATGCATAGTGAAATAGGATTGATGTATGCAAAAGAAGATCATTTACAACCTATATCTATATTTATCACAAACTTAGTTACAATTTTCTTCTTGTCTTCAGCCTCTTTCTTCACTCTTTAGTTTCACTTCTATTTTTGGCTATAAATCATCACTTTCACTTTGTTTCCATGATCACCTGGAATCATCTACATTATTTTTTTAAAATTGTTTAACACACAACTCAACCTTATTTTTATGATTGTATAACTTGTATGCTCTACAGTGATTGGTCTTCCTAGCCTATTAGCTTAATTTTAACTTTCACATCATTATTTAGTTTCATTTTCTTAAATACTTCCAAGTAAATAATATTTGTTATTATGCTGTCTTTTAGAAAGAGAATTCATAAAATTGTGACTGCAGTTAAACAGAATAAAATCACGGAAAAAATATTTTCGTTGAATTTCTCTTTTCCTACAATGGCATCCAGTCGATATTTTGGGTAAAAGTGCTATAATTAATTGATCATCAATGGAAATTTTAGTTAGTTCTATAGTGTACCAAAATGCTTCTCAGTGCTGCCAATGAAAAATGATTTTTAAACATGACATATTGTAGATTTTTAATGCATTATACTTAACAACAAGTAGACGGAGAGGAGGGAGTATTCCAAATAAAATTGTTACGACAACATATTAAAGTTGCATGTTAATTACGCTGACCTAATTGCTTTTATTTTCTAACGAAAGTAATCGAAGGTATATACATTACATCCCAGATTTGTACAAATCTGTTCTGACAGTAGAAGCAACATCATTGTGCGATTATTTGATTATACTAACTTTTTTTTTTACTAAGCGAGACAACTTATGAGAAGATAAATAAGTAGTCAGTTTTAATCTTCAGCTGACGTCAATGAGAGAACCACTGAAAACTCAGGGGTATTGAATAGGAATTCTGTTCTGCCTTAGGACTCCTTGGCAATACACAGATATGATACCATCATGAATCGAGTGCAAGTACTGATGGTATCATGGCAGCGTACTACTGAAGCCTACAAAATAGCTCTGCAGTAATACATGGTTTTCAGTGATTCTCTGACTTATGTCAGCTCCTGATTAAACTAGAAATCAATCAAATAGCCGCAAACCAACGCTTGGAAATAGCTATATTTACAACAAAGCAAAAGTTTTCCATGAACTTCATTTTTTTGGAAAGAGGATTTACAAGGGATAAAATTTCTGTGTCAAGTATAACAAATAATAACAGTAATTATTTAGGTTTCTGCGTTACATAGTTTCACATTACTCAAAAAGGAATACATAAGTTCAGAATTTATTGTCATCTAATTATTAAAGGAACAAGTATTATTTTGTCTCACTTATCTTTATCTTTATTAATGTATTATGTGTCAGTATGATCATTAAAAGCGAGTATATTCAACAGTACCTAAACGAGTGAAAATGAATCCATAAAAACTTATATGGTCATCTTAGCAAGTATGAAAATGTTTTCCAAACTGAGACATTTTGAACACTTCAGAGTGAGCAAATCAAGATAGGACTCATTAAGGCAGCGTTTATATTACTCATATCTTATTGTTATGTGTAGCACAAATGTCAACTTAGTATCTACACAATTCCCTTTTAAGCAAACATTCATTGCTCACATTTTTCAGTGAGCAGCGATGTTTTGAATGATGTCGATGGATTTTATCATTTTTAAAATCTCACATTATCTTCAAAGATTAACGGCTTTGATAATGACTTAGTTTGTGAAAACAAATTTTCATGTGTTTAAGATATGCGTCAAAAATTGATGTGGCTATAATTCTTATTGATCAAAAGACTTTACCTTGAGTATCTTCTTCGTCAGATGAGTTCAGTGCGTCTTCTTGTTGGGTGTACAACAAATCTTCGTCATCATCACTTGCTAAGAAAAAGCGATTTTGGTCTTCGTTAACCTCCCCCTCATCATCATCAGTCTCTTTAACTGAAGCCAAATTTGACGTCTTATTTTGCATTTTACTTTCCTTCAGAAACTGTTGCTCAATGGATTCTTTAGCTCTTAGTATCTCTCCAACTTTTGGCCATCTAAATCTGAGTGAGTCGTCAGATTCCTTTTTATCTAGTTTAAGTCGAGCTTCCTGCCGACTATACTCAAGTGCTTTATTCCACAATCCTGATTGAGACAGCTTGGAATTAGATTTTCTTTTTGCATCAGTAGGCTTCATTCTAATTTCCTCTATTAAACGACGTAATAGGTTAACAGGATTAGACAGTGGAGCAGTCTCCATTAGACGAGGTAAGTGTTCACATAATGCACGAACCCACCACCATGATTCACTGTTACACATACCTTCAGGATCGTAATAATGATGCTGAAATAAAATTGAAAATAGACAAAGATTTACTATTAGAAAAATTGGAAACTAAGTTCAGATCGTGAGAACTAATGTTACACTAATTGCTTGAGAAATGTGATATGTTTAAAATTAGAAATGAAAATAACTTATGTATGTGTGGAATCCCGTTCTTAGCATAATGAGAAGAAAATAACTTTTTCACCTCAGTGTCTATCGATTAAATTTCAGTGAAATTCTTGTTTATTCACAAGAATAAGCTACCGTGTGAATTCTTTCATCACTATAACAATTTGAATGACATACAGGTTATCACTGCTAAAATCTTAATAACTATGCTGTAGGTTTACTAAGTATTTTTTTTTAAACAGTGCATTATGTAGTTCACATGTAATTAAACACTATAGTGCATACCATTTACTCAGACTGAATTCAGTGGAATGGATTTTGAAATCTGAATGCCTCAATCAATGGGCCCAGTGTTGTATTTGAATTCACATCAGTGAAAGCATGAAATCGTAACTGTTTATTCTAAGAACAGAGGCTAAAAAAATAAGTGAATTTTTCTACAGACAACTTTGAAATAATAGAGAAGATTTGTAGCTCAGGTGAATGATTTGCAATTAGTAGTGTTCTCTGAGCTGGTTGGTTTAGTTGCGGAGATTTGTCTGCTAACAGAACACATAAGTTAACAGAAAGTGTAATCCAATAACTTATACGAATAAACAGTTTGATTTAAATTCATAAAATTAGCATGCGTTAATTAGAAAAAGTACTGCTTCATCAAATCATAATGGTGATGTTTACATGCTTAAACCAGTTGTTGTCATCAATGACAATTTTGGCTTACTTCAGCTTATCACGTGAATAATATGTTAGTGCAGTGGGCGAGATTTTTATCCATGCATTAGTGTTAATTTTTTTAGTTACCTTTGGCAAACAGACTACGTCATGATAAAAAAAACTAGAGTATTGATGTAGTTCTTAAGAAAAAATACCTTCTTTGGTGTTTTAGATATGGTATTATGTAAAACGTACGTATGCAGCTTAATTGCTTCCCTTCTTATAAAAGATATTAGAATTCATAACCCGCTAAATGTTCAAATTTTTATTGCTCTCCGCCAGTGGTAATGTATTCCTAATCCGCTTCATGAACACTGTGTATGCCAAATAAACATTTAATATTATGAAACATTAAAATACAGCTATTTTAACATTGAAAAATGGTTGAATAAATAATCCAGAAAATATTTTATTACTTACCAGTTGAAGGATGATATTTTCCAGCTGAGCGAAATATGCATCTGCAACGGTTGTTAAATTGACAGATTGTTCAGCAGTCATCATCAACTCATTCAGTACATCATTAACATCTCTACTTAAACTTGGATCATTTTTTTGCGTTGTTGACTGGTTAGCAATTGGCAGTGCGAGTGTGATAGCTGCAGTTCTGTCGAAATAGTTGAAAACAATGTACCCATAACTTTGAAGCTAGGCTCAACAATTAGTGTATACTGAAGAGAAATTTATAAATGTTTACTTCGCGTAGTTAACTAACCAATCCTAATACCGGGAATGAGGCGAGGTTATGTGAGGAGCTAAAAACTTCACCTTGTAAAAAAATATCCCATAGCTAATGAAACTTCAAAAAACAGAGAAAATAAACTTATTCTCCGCTAGAATCGGGAAGGCTTTTCAGTTCTAGGACGAATCACGACGGCGGGTTAAAAAAATTCAGAAAATCAGACTTTCGATGTGTCTCCTTTTGATGAAAGCTAAAGCAAGCATTGAAACAAAGAAGGTCCACATTATGTTTGAGGCTGGGTGGCTGGTAGTCCTGCTCATACTGTACGTAAAATGAAAAAATGTGATATAGGGGTGTTAGGAATCCGTGTGACTACATAGAATGGATGTAGACTCCTTGAATTTTTATCTGAAAAGCCAATAATCCACCCCTATCACCTAATCAGCAACCATTGCCACACTTAGGAAGTGACCACCAGGATATCGTCAACAGTATCCGAAGCTGTGATACAGAGGGAACTAATTACCACAACATCATAGTAGAAAGATTTAACTCAAAAGGAAGGGAAATCACAATGCTGCACGCCTACGAATAATGCAGATCTAGTGGAAAAGGAAATCTTCCTATAGTCATTTGCAAACACCACTGGGCAAGAACCCAGTCACATCACGACATTAGAATTCTGAAAGGTAATATGAATGTTAAACTGGGCATAAACAATACAGGGACAGAACTCACAATGGGTTGAGTGACATGGATTGAAGTGAATCAAAATGGAAACCTCTTTGCAGACTTCAACGCCTCTTTGGCGATTCGGTGTGTATAAGTACAAAGAAATCCACAAGGGAAAATCTCACTGAGTGAACAAATGAAAAATCAGATAGACTCTATCTCAATCTCCAGAAAATGGGGGACAGTCTACTTGAGAAAAAGTCATGATAAGGAGCGGATTAAGGCTCAGGCCAATGCACAGTGCAAGGAGCTTTCAAAATGGTTTTGAAGGCCTTCAAAGGAATTGGAGATGGCCTGCAGTTCAAAATCACTGCTTTGAAACTGAAGGACGAAGCTACTAACGAAATCTTCACTGTAGTTATTAGGAATAGACTCGAGGAATTAGGAGAAATCACCTAGGAAACCTGTGTAGTAGAAAGCTGAAACTCCCCCAAAACAGTGTGGTAAGAAATTTATGTAGACATCTTAGAAGGGAAGAAGTGTCTCACTACGAACAATTGGAAGCTTATAGAGGAGAGAAAGATTCTGAAGCAGAAGTTCTGAATAAATGTTTGAAAAAAGTGCTGTTGGAAAGACAGAAGGGGCATTAACGATACACTTACAACTGAAGCAGAACATACTGGGGACAGAAGCTACCTCACAACACTTTATCGAACCATCAGGATTCTGTTCGGAAGGATATCATCATAAATGAAGCCAATGGAACATAGGAAATCCAATTACCAAAGGAAGAACTTTGAGCTTATCACTTCAAATGACTGCTGATTCGATTATCACCTAAACCTCTTTTAGAAGTGCTACCAGCAGATACAGATGTCAACTAAAATTTCAAAGCGAAACTTTGCACAAAAGTGCGACAGCTCAAGAACTGAATATCAAGAGAGAGCACAAAATAAGTAATTCAAAGTACTGTAAGCTGAAATGTTAACACCAACCCTCCAAAAGATACTGATATTTTGAAGGCCTTAAAGGTACTGAAAGTGGCAAAAGCGTTAGAACTAGATGGAATTCACCGGGAAGCACTCAGAACGGACAGATAGACCTCAGCGAACATGCCCATATTGCTAATTCATACCGTGTAAACAATGGAAAGCACCTGCCAACTGGAAGGAAGGCTACCTTTTCAAACTGAGAAAGTAAAATGACGTAAGTCGATGTAAGAACTGTGGGAGAACCATTCCTACTTCCACCAAAAGGAAAATTTGAAGCCATATTGTCCTTTAAAAACTGAAAGGTGCTCTTGATGAAAAATGCTTCCGGCTGGATTCAGACAAAACAAAACATGCGTAGATCAGACTGTCAAATTGAGCATCATCATTGAACACAGCAAAGAATGACAGTCAGCGCATAACCACAAATTAATCGATTTCAAAATGTCATTGACAGTGTCGAACGTGAAGTAATTTGAAAATAGTTTCAACACTGAGGAGTTTAGTGCCACTTACATATAAAAGACCCATTTAACTTACTGATAGTGATGTTGCGTGCCAAACATTTCACGAAGAACAACTTAATTAACTGCTTGAACTGAAGACAGGATTAAATCAAGGTTCCTTACCACCACTGCAGCACCATGCGACAGACTGTAAGTGGAGAGTGGGAAGACAAGCATTCTATAAAAGATCTGGATTTCACAAATGATTTATGTCTTTTGTAGCACAGGTTTGAAGGTTTACTAGCAAAATCAGCAAGTTATCAGTAGGAGGAGGGGAATATTGGAAGAACTTCAGGTAAACATAGGTAGGTAATGAAGATACCTGATTACAAACAACCCACATTAATTACCATCAGTGGGAGAAATATATGGGAAACTGTCCGTTTCATCTACCTGGAAGCATTGTGCGTCGGTGGCACAGTGGTTAGGACTCTCGCCGACCATGTACATGGTCTGGGGTCCGATCCCCTACCGACGCACACCTGATATCAATGATTGGCCTGCAAAATTTGGGCTACCGATATTTTTAACCTCGCCTATATTACTAGGTCACCAGTATTCTAGCCGGTCCCAAGCCCGGATAAAGAGGGAGGGTTGGGGCGTGGTGCTAGCAACTCCACCCCCAAAACCTAACCAAATTGCTACTAAAACTTCAACGCACAAATATATTCAAAATTCTAAAATTACAAATAGTGATCTTATTTTTCGCTGGAATCGGGGAAGTGAAATGACGCAGGCTGGTGAAAGCCTTCGGGAAGCCAGTCAGCCGATGTGCCTTCTTTCGATGAAAGCAAAAATAAGGATGGGGACGTGGAACATTCGTACAATGTACGAAACTGGAAAGGCTGCTCAGGTAGCCGCGGAAATGAATGAGGAGAATGGTGAAAGAGAAAATGATTCAATGCAAAGACGGACAAGAGAAAGAGACGCTGAGCTCAACTTACACAGCACTGGACAAAGAAGTGAAGAAGAGTGCCAGGAAGGACAAAAGACAATTCTATGACAACCTGGCTACTGAAGCTGAGAAGGCAGCAGGCAAAAGGGACCTGAGGACACTATATCAGATAACCAAGTCTCTATCCGGGAAGAGATCAACACAAGTGAAACCTATAAAAGACAGCCAAGGGAACCCAATTACCAAAGAAGAAAGACAGATTAAACAATGGGCGGACCACTTCAAAGAACTCTTGAACCGACCACCACCTACAACCCGTCCAGAAATACCAACAACAGCGCATACACAACTGCAAGTTGACACTAATCCTCCAACGAAAACTGAAATCATGAATGCAATCAAGCTTCTGAAAGCTGGAAAAGCAGCTGGACCAGATGGAATACCCCCGGAAGCACTGAAATCGGACCCAGAAACGACGGCAGATATGCTGACTCCATTATTGCAAAAGATCTGGAAAGAGGGAAAGGTGCCTACTGACTGGAGGAAAGGTTACCTAGTGAAACTACCAAAGAAGGGGGACCTAGGATTCTGCAAGAACTGGTGAGGAATCATGCTCCTGTCGACGCCAAGTAAAATCCTGAGTCGCATCATCCTGGAGAGAATAAAGGACGCACTGGATACAGAACTCCGACCAGAACAAGCTGGATTCAGGAAAGGCAAATCATATTCTGACCAAATTGCAACTCTACGCATTATCATCGAACAAAGCATGGAATTGCAATCAAACCTCTACCTCAACTTTATAGACTTTGAGAAGGCCTTCAACAGCGTCGACCGCGAAGTAATTTGGAAACTACTCGAGTACTACGGCGTACCCCAAATATTCATCAACCTTATTCAACAGCTGTACGACAACGGCACATGTCAAGTGATCCACAACGGAAAACTCAGCGAGGCGTTTGGAGTAAACACAGGAGTCAGACAAGGGTGCTTATTATCACCAATGATATTCCTAATTGTGGTGGACTGGATTATGCATCAGACAGTGGGAAACGAGAAGACAGGGATATCCTGGACCGACGTGAAGAACCTAGAAGACCTGGATTTCGCGCGTGGATGATTTATGTTTGATGTCACACAAAATCGAAGACTTACAAGCGAAAACCGACAAACTGGTCGAAGAAGCAGCCAGAGAAGACAGGACTCCAGGTGAACATAGACAAGACGGAGGTTATGAAAATAACCAACCAACCAACAACAACAGCAGCAACATCCAGTGCCAATCACCATCAACGGGAGGGATTTGAAAGAGGTTACTTCATTCACTTATCTAGGGAGCATTGTCTCAACTACAGGAGGAACGGACGAGGATGTCAAATCGAGAATCAGGAAGGCGAGAAACACATTCATCAACCTGAAACCAATCTGGAAATCTTCGTCACTCAGCCTGCATCAACAACAAAATTCGGATTTTCAATACAAACGTCAAGTCAGTCACTTCTTCTATACGGATCAGAAACTTGGCGGGTCACCAAGAATATTTCCAACAGCCTGTTGCAGACCTTTATCAACAACTGTCTTCGTTCTATACTGAAGATTAGATGGCCGGAAAGAATCACAAACAAGAAGCTATGGGAACAAACAAAACAAGAACCAATCGCCCAACAAATATGCAGGAGAAAGTGGAGATGGATTGGACACTCGCTGAGGAGACCGCTGGGTGACATCGCGCGTCAAACCCTCGAGTGGAACCCGAAAGGGAAGCGGCGAGTGGGACGTCCAAGGGTGACATGGAGGAGATCGTGTGATGAGGAACTGAAACAGTATGGATTAACATGGATGCAAGTGAAAAGTACAGCAGAAGACAGAAGCAAGTGGAGGCGTGCAGTTGAAGCCCTATGTTCCACTAGGAACCGAAGGGAACAATAATAATAATTGTTTCAACTATGAACCTTGGGAATAGATGGTGAATAAAAGCCACAATTACAAGCAATTACTACTCTAAAGTTAGTGCAGAGACCAACAACATTCAGCACAAGGAACATCAACCAAATTGTTAAAACTGATATCAAGTCAGTGCTTCTTTGTGGTTCAGACACGTAGCTCGTGTGTCACGAAAATCATTTCTAACAGGCTACTGCAGACTTTTGACAACGCTTCCCTTCGTCGAATACTCAAGAAATGATAACTACCTGAAAATAATTGGGAGCAAGTGACTCCAACAACTCATTACTCAGGAAACATCCACAGGGAAATGGTGGTTCTCTGTGGAGATATTCAACTGACATCACACACAGGTCAGGCTTCCAGAAATGGCATGGAGGGAATCATATCAGGAAGGAATCAAAGATTGTGGTCAATTGTGGGGCCAGCCGAAAGTGATGACAAAGAGCTGAGTCCGACAAAGGTGTGCATACGTGAATTTAAGTTCTATTTGGAAAGTAAGGAACAAATACCAGTAGCAACAGCACATACTGGTTAAAATTTCAGCATTTCCTTTTAAAGTGTTTCCAAAGTTCCAAGAATTAACATTGAATCACATCAGTATGCTGCGATAATCCAAAGTTAATATTCTTGTAGTTGTGTAAAAGAGCCGATAATGCAAACAGAATCCTAACACTAATATTCAAGGCTGAGCTCAGGAAACCTCCCTTTCAGAAAGCTATATAATTACATCAAAAAATATCAATGAACTGGATTTGAGAAGCAATGAAAAAAAGTAATCACTTAAGAAAAAAATGTATTCACAACTCACACGCGAAGGATTTTTCGGACTGCAAGAAGTCTTTTCTCTTTGGACAGATTGGACGAAGTGGCATTCAAACCTGGAGGAAGGAGAGCTAGCGGCCATGTAATAAGATATGGTAGTATCGGAGATAATAAAAGTCCACCAATTTTACGCACTTTAGGATGAGGTCGATTTGAATTCATTGTTGGTGGTAGAAAAGGGTATATTATTGCTTCCAGTTTTGAGATAACTTTTATGACTGTAGATGCCAGTGGGTTATTACTGGATGCAGATTTTCTTTTGAGACCATTTTCACTAGTTTGTGAAAGCTGTAGGCTGTTAGTGAAGATGCAGACAATGAAAATTTAAGATTCAAGTTGTTTACCACCGTATTAATGAGTGAACGAAGAATGCCGTATGCAAAAACCATTTGACAATTTCACTTTCAAAAGTATAGTTCAGCAAGCGGCCGAATAAATGTGTACCACTACTTCATGTAGCCGTGTCCATCAATAAGTTATTCCACACTTTAAAAAATCAATGGGGATCAGTCTGACAAAAAATGACATGTCAATAAGGCCTTGGTGCCTTTAATGACAGTTAAAGTGACTCCCTCCTCACCCTGAATATTACAAAATGCTACAAAATCAATTCAAGAGGAAAGGAATATTGGTACTAGGAGGAAGGTAAAAGTGTTTTATTTCATAGAAACAAACGCTCATAGGTGTTAGACATAGGACTGAGTTTAGTTTATAGGTTGGTTAAGAAACATTACCCTGACGACGGGGAATTTTTTCATATTTCACAATGAGAATTCGCAGACGATAATTCAAGCTATGTTTCAAGCACAACAAAAATATTGAAGAAAGATCATTCACTTCAGACAGAATAATGTATTGGCAATAATATGTGGTTATTCTTTGATAACTAGAACTGGTTTACGACATACGTTAATGCACACCAACTTGCAAAATTCTGTATCACAGTTTTTATAAAGTAATTTATACCCTTAAACTTTCAGAAATGCGCATAACACACTTGAAGTAATCTTTAAAAGTCAATTCCAAAAGTAAAAACTTCAGAAATTTGTGGAGTAAGTGGAATAAAAACTGAAGAAATTAAACAACATCAAACTAAATTGTATTTAATAAAGCTTAAATGCCAATGAATAACGATCAATCATTTAATTCTCCGACGTAACGGAAAAAATTGCAGATATAGTAAATGAGATTCAAAGTGATTGCATGACAAGTTTTTAGTGAAAGAAGTGAAAAAACTGTTGCACTTACTCTAGCATCAAAAGACTAAATAAGCACATACGGTACACCACGCTTACGGCTCAAACTATTAAGTTTGCTAAAAATCAACCGTCGCACTAAATACCATTTACCGATCACAAAAGCTATTACATTTCGTCAGGTAGAAACGTAAGCATTTCAAACTAGAGAAAGCAGGTTTTTTCAACTAACGTTTCTATCACATGATCAGATATATGGTAATTTCCTGCTTACCTAGAAACTCATCAACGCGACACACAGCTGAACTATATTATGCGTTTAAGTAGTAAGAGAAACATGTGGTTTTAACCAATTATGGAATGTCTATTCTGTATGGATAAGAAACTTGGCATGAGCGTCAAAAAAGGCATTTCCAACAGCCAGATGCAGACTTTTATCAACAGCTGCCTTCACTCACTCAATACTGAAGATCAAATGGCTGACCAGAAAGAGTTAGCAACAGAAAACTGTGCGAATTAACTAACCAAGAACCTATCGTTCAACAAATATGCAGGAGAAAATGGAGATGGAATGGGCACACACTGAGGAGACCGTTGAATGACATCGCGCACCACCAAGCTAAAGTTTGAGGGGAAACGTTCGAAAAGGAAACGGTGAGTGGGTTGTCCTAGTGTGACATGGAAGAGATTGTGTGAGGAGGAGATGAGAGATTATGGGCATTCGTGAGGTCAGCTGAAGAGGACAGTAGAAAATAGAACGAAGTGTGATGTGCTGTTGAGGCCATATGTCCCACTTAGAACCTAAGAGAACAATGATAATACCAGTATAATATATTAGGTTTTCCTTGTTCAGACGTCTCACAACATTTTATCCGTCTAAACAATCAGCTTTTGAAAGAATCTCAGACTACGTTTGTGAAATAAATAAAATTAGGAATAATTTAACTGATTATTTTACCTAACATATGATTCTCACTCTTAATAGTTATGAATTCTTGTGGAAATCTTTAAAACGAGATATTTAACCGTTATGATGAACCATTGGTTCCTTTCTGATCACTAATAAATAAAAATCTTCTTCGTTGTGTAAATAAAAACTACTGTTAAATATGTTCCCTCGAAAATAATAACCAACTACAGAAGAGATTATTCAAATGAAAAATGTATATGAACAAGTTGAAACGGTTGCATACCATGACGGACTTGGCCTAAGCGTTGCTGCCATGCTGGTTGGATCAATACTGTTAGATACTGGTTCAAATCTAGCTCCAAGTTGTATGTCTATGCGTTGAGCGAATTCAACAAACCCTTTAACACATTCTGCCTACAAATTTTATGCAAGGATAAATTCAATGAGTACTGAAATTGCGAAAATGTTAAAAGTTGTAAAAAAAGTAAAACAACTAAAATTGTTGCAGTGCTTATTTATAAATTTATGTAATGAATCTTACTAAATATTCTCACACTGACAGTTGGCTTAGCTACTTACCTGATAATCCCTCAGAAAATCGACTGACTCTTGTGGATACACAGCTACATAGTGAAGCAGACAGCGATAAAACTGTTTTATTATCTAACAAATTATTTATGTGGCATACAATTCATAACTGATCAGATTATTAGGTATTACGTGTGGTTAATTATGTATGCACAATTTTGTGTATACATTAATTCAACTTCTGTTTTACAGTTCTTGAGATTGACGTGTTTCAAAGTATGCTGTAGAATATTTCACATTAAGAAAATCTTACATTTATGATGTGGAACATTCTGAAACCTATAAATAACTATACCACAGGTAATGTTCTTGATTATTATCTACGTCAGCTAAAGTAATCTTTTATCTAAAATTAGTTACCAGTTGAACTTCTTTCACATCTGTGTATGAGTAACTTGGCTTGAGCACTCTTTACTGTTTCTCGTCCGTTTAGTAAAAACTATAGATTTTATCAATAAGTGAACTAATTAACTGCAGTTCATTTCTTGATTTACTTTAACTTCAATGCACTACTGAAACCTTGCATGAGCTTTTTTCATTATCAACTGCTGATTTGCAGGAATTTGATGGGTTTGAAATTAGATCGCTAACTGACATCAGTCAGAGGAACAGTGAAACCATGGAGTACTGAACAGCTGTTTTGTCCACCTTTAGAAACGCTTAAGCAGTTCATGCTCATAACCATATCAGGATGGAGCTCATGTACTTTTGTTTATGTGGAGAGACTGTTGATCTTTCAGCCACTGGGATGTAATGCAGTGACCAGTGAATTCAGACTTCTACCAATTCTCTGAATATAAGGCCACCGACAGCCACTATCGTCAAAAAATATTTCTCCTCATGCTTGCCCTTGTTGGTCCTGTGTAAGCTCATGGAAGCCGACAGCTAAATTTTCGAAATTGTATGTACGGTACCCCTGGTTCTCAATCATCCTCTAGTCGATGTCACTTTGTGGTCTGACGTTAACTTCGTTGTTTAACTGTGCTGAACACTAACAAATTATTACATTATATGCTATCAGAAAATAGGGGATTTTGATAGACTCTGAAGTATGTAAAAACGTCAGATATATACTTTTTTCAGTATTTCAGCACCCAAGCGTGTACATTTAAAGGGCTCAGACTGCAATCTCTTTTGTTAGATAAAATAATTACTCTTTCATTGGTAAAAGGATAATTTTATTGCAAAATAAAACTGAAATATTAGTGAGAATAAGGAAGGCATGATTTTCACATCCCATCTTAGATGTTAAATTACAGTTGCATCTTCAAAGTCTGAAATGCATTAACATAAAAAAATTAAATCATCCCAATTTCTTATTAGACCTACCACATCTCCTGGATCTACTTCCAGTTTACGTTGAGAGTACTGCATGCTTGAAAGTGGATCAGGTCTCATAGTCTCCCAAGTACATGCCACAAGTGATAAATTGGGCAGTCTGTGAGTGAGACAAAGGGTATACAGTGTGCACTCCATTGATAAGATAGTAAGAAATATAGGTGATGTGTGGTTGAAAGTATACTGCTGGCAGGTTCGAAGCCATAATCTTGATTTTTCTGGTGAAAATAGACCAAAAAGTAGTGGTGAATTTAAAATAGGGATTGTTCCAACATTGGCAAATTTTTCTGTGAAACCCGGTTCTTGTTCTTCCATTTGTAAGATTTCATCATACTGCCATAATTCAAACAAGCCGTCGCGCAAGAGCTTCAAAGTTGCATATGACATCATTGACGGTGGACCAAGCATGTATGATGAAATTAATTCTAATAAAAGATTACCATCGTACCACCTTATCAATTTTCCGATATCACTTAAGGCCTATGACAATAAGAAAATAGCATGAATATTAAACAACAGTAACCACATTTACTGGCTGGAAGAATTAAGCAGAACTAAAGAGTAACTTAATGAACTAACATAAACAGTGAAACCGATTCACATTACCTACACTACTGATTACAGCTTCATTGAAGTAGTTTAAAAATATGAAATAAAACTGAAACATATTTATACATTGTAAAACTGTTAACAAACATTTACAAAACTATGAAATATATTCATCAAAAAATATAACAGGTTAAAGAGATTGGAATGAAAGCTTTTATTCTTAAACAACGGTAAAAATAGGTTACGCAGCGTTGTTTAGTTGTGTTTTTAACATACAACAAATGCTATTAGCTAAAGGCGTGAGACTGAATTTACCCAACTGTCTGTTTTTGAGTGAACAAAACAATACCATCAAAAATATGATCCCTGAGTCGACATAACCCGTTTATATACTGATATTCCCATTAATACAGCTCTGGAGGTAGTTAGGAATTAATTGAATATTGATTCTAAACTCAAAAGTAGGACTATGCTCTCAATTGATGAAATAATATTAGGTGCTCAGTTATTTCTAACCTCCACTTTATTCAAATTTCAAAATAAACTATAGGAAGAAACTAATGGAGTGGCAATGGGAACATCGATATCTTCAATAGTGGCGAACATATCTATGGATAGTTGGAAACATATGGCTCTTAGAAAGTCTAATCCTGCTTATGGTGAAGATATGTGAATGACAAATTCACTGTGCTGAAATCCGAACATATCCCTCATTTTTTCACACATATAAACTCAATAGTAGACGGGTTCCATTCCACTTCTAATTTAGAAGAAGAATAAAATGAAAACAAGATGGTGGCATTTATAGGAAACTGACACACTCTAATAAATACTTAGGCTTTAATTCATCTCATCCAGAATCGGTAAAGATAGGTTTAGTTAAATGTCTTTATAATCGGGCCAAGAGCCTAACTAGTAAAATAAATAATGAAATCAAACAAAGGAAGTTTTACTAATGAATAACTGCCTACTAGAATTTATTCAGAAATATGTGAATAACAATTGAAACACTAAGGTTAGCAATAAAAATGACGAAAATAATATAGAATTCAAAGCCTCCATAGCTCTACCACATAAAGGAGGAACGTCAGAGGCCTTACGTAGGATTCTCAGTGTCATTGGAATTAGGGTTATTTGGCAGTTACAATAACTAACTCTTTCAGAGTTGAAAAAACTTTGTCGGCTTAAGGACCCAATTAAGAAAAATAGTATAATGACTGTGAGGTCAATTACATAGTTAAAACTAGTAGATCAGGGTCAACTAGATTAACTGAATCGACAATACCGTTTGAAACAAACTCACTGTTATTGGTATTTATTATTAGTATATCTATTAATTATGTCGTAAATGTGGACAAATTCCTCCGATTAATTTTTGTTTTAATTTTTAATTTCATATACATTTTGAGTAAATCAGATGCAATATTGTGACAAATACTGAGAATTCCATTCTGTATTATAAGTACTGTTTTTGGAATAAAGTAAATTATTATTATTATTACTGGAACATAAAAATTTAGCTAGACCTAGAATAATTGACCTTGCTAATTTAAACAACTAGAATTTAAACAACCTAGAAAAACGCTCAGCCATTGCATCGCATTCACTTGTACCTAATCACAAAATAGGGTGGGTGAGGCAGGGTGAGAGTTTTAAAAGTAATATAGTTAGGTGGAGGGAAAGGTTAATTACTGAAGCTTTGTCTATCTATTCAACACCCCATAAGTGCAATCGGAGTGACACAAAGCCTACACCAGAGAAATGGAAACTGGCAACAAACAACAAAGAAAAGTTGGAGAAACAGAAGAGAGAGAAAACATATATAAGACACATTGTGAAAACGTATGACTAAATTGATGTGATTATAGGCGATAAGTAATGCTCGCAACGTCATCCGGTTTTTAATACTGCATCAATGTGTGCTATTTAAAATAAAGTTATCTAATGTGGAACCATTACACCTGCTAAAAAAGTCGCATATATATGACAATTTGAACCATGATTAATCCAACCAGATATCAAACTTATAAGCAAAACTATTAATACTGCAGGCGCTGTGCAAAACACTGGTTAGCATGAAATTTGAAGATACAATCCTAGCAGAGACAACAGTAATTTTGGCAAACTAAATACATGATCATTGCAAATTACTTAAAATAACCTCAGATTGTTTAAGGAAAAATCAAACGAGCTGGGATTATTTTAGATAATTTACAATGATTCATTCTGACTCGGTGCTGAAATCATTCCAGAAAAAATTGTAACATCTACGGTCTGGATACTTATAAATGCATGATGTTTAAAAAATGTGAGGTCTGAAAGAAGTTAATTTAATGGAATAAGTTACTTTTTATATTTGTCAACTACACAACTTCGGGTCTCACAATAGTTTCTTACAGAAATCAAGAGTTGAAATTTAAATGCATATTATGCTTGCTTTCATCAATGACATCAGCATTCGCAGTGAAAATTCTGTATAGTACAGGCTGCTGCTAAAACAAGTAGTTGGTGACCACTTACACTGGTTATTAGTGCTTGCATTGAGTAATTCTAAAACTCCTGATTTCATCGAATGTACATCTAGTCAACTAGCTAGCGTGGCTAGTCGAAATATTGGTGGTGTAATCCGATCTGAGTCTTTGGTATAAGACAGTCACAAGTCATTACTGGAGACTTCAGACGAGAACGAAAGATGAGGTCGTTCGATGTGGAGTAGCGGTAATGTGCTGCATAAAAGAGCTCCCTATCTATGAATAAATGATACGACTAGAAAAGTGGACTATTCGTCAGTCCTGCCAAGTGCTTCAATTTCTTTTTAAAATATTGTATTTTAGTTCAACGCTATTCGAATACAAAATTTTATGAAAAGAATAGCAGAATATAAAAATAATTCTGTGATCAAAGATATTCTAAACATAATAAATTTTACTTTAAATCAGGCATACTTTAGTTACGGCTATCAAAGCCGCTGAGGTAAATAAATGAATGGGCGTCCAAACTTGATTTATAAATACAATTATTTAATTCCCACCATTACCCTTATAGAGAAAAAATAACTCAAATAATAATGACTTTATTCAAGTCTTTTATCGCCAAATACTTTTCAATGATTATTACTTTTTTGGCAGAACTACGCAGTTCAACATTCTCGTCCAGCAAGCATTCTGTGGAAAGCTGTAACATTTTGAACAACATAGATTTCATGCTGATTGTATCAAGTTCCACACGACTATTTGTTTTATTTATTGCATTAAATGCTTGAGCTGTACTCAGGCGTTTTAGCCATGTTTGTGCTCTGCCAATTTCCATTTGTCTACCCTAGAAGAAAAAACAATAAAATACTATTTTATATCACAGAAAATTAGATTTCAGTTTTCATGTATGCATTATACAATAAGATTGTGATAAATTGACCTGTTCAACTGAAATAACACCGTACGAATTAAAAATACATAGGCAAAAGAATTTTTAGCCTCAGAAGTTTGACATCTTATTATCAGGTGGATAGCGGGGCAAGTTTCCGAGTCACTTTGGCTTTGTAAATTAAAACAACTTAACACCAGAAATAAACAAGACAGACTTTGACAAGTAGTGATATTAAAAGGTGGAAAGACTATCATTTACACACCAGTCATAAAATACGGGGCTAAGACAACTAAATGTTGATTTACTATTGCATAAGTAGATGTAAAATATAGTAACATAGTGCAGACGGAATACAATGAAATTATTATCGTGACGAATAGGGAAATTGACTGGGTAACACAGTCATTGAAATAAAAAACATCAAATGATAAATAATCCTCAAGTCAAAGTTAGTCATTGCTACAAACAATATGATCATTATTATTGTTTTCTTTTGTTCCCAGAAGAACACAGGGCTTCAGCCGTGCGTCTCCATTGCGTTCAGTTCTCTGCCAACATTTTCACCTGAATCCATGTCTGTCAACATGCTTTCATATCCTCTTCACATGACCTCCTCCATTTCACCCTTCGACGACCAACTCGCCGCTTCCTGTTTGGGCTCCACTCGAGAGCCTGGTGTGTGTGATGGTTTGTTTTCTCGAAGTATGGCCAATTCACCTCCATTTCTTCCTGCACATTTGTTTCACAATCAGTTCCTGATTGTTACTCTCATTGCCAGAGATCCCTGTTGCTGATCTTTTCTGGCCGGCCATCTGATCTTGAGTATTGAGCGAAGACAGCCGCTGATGAGGGTCTGTAGTTTGTTCGAAGTGCTCTTTACGATACGCCAAGTCTCTGACCCATAAAGTAGCACCGACTTCATATTGGAGTTGAAAATCCAGATCTTATTTTTCCTGCTGAAGAGTGCTGTTGATCTCCACACAGACTTGAGAGTAATGAAAGCTTGCCTTGCTTTCCCGATCCTCGCTTTGATATTCTCTTCAATTCCGTCAGCCTGTAGTTGAAACGATGCTTCCCAAGTAGGTAAAGGAGGTTGATTGTTTCAGATTTCTCCCACTTATGCTGATTGTTGTCTGTTGTTGTTATTGTTGGCCAGAAATATTCATTACCTCTGTTTTTTCTATGTTCACCTGAAGGAAGTCCTATGTTTGATGCTTTTTCTGCCAACTTGTTGCATTTCACTTGCACACCATATTCCACTTTGTGGAAAATCAGACAAATATCATTGGCGAAGTCAAGATCCTCCAAGTTTTTTGTGTGGGTTCATTTTATGCCTGTTTCCTCGCTACCCGCTGTCTGTCACATTATCCAGTCTACTGCAATCAGGAAAATCATTGGCGATAGTAGGCAGCCTTGTCTTACTCCCGTCTTCACTTCGAAGGGTTCCGTGAGTTTCCCCGTTGTGGATTACTTGGCATGCACCATTGTCGTACAACTGTTGGACGAGATGTATAATTGTTGGCGACACCCTTTAGTATCGAAGTAGTTGCCAAATCATCTCTCGACCGACGCCGCCGAAGGCCTTTTCAAAGTCAATGAAGTTGGGATAGAGAGCTGACTGCCGTTCCAAGCTCTGTTCAGTGGTGATCCATAGACTTGAGATTTGATCGATACATGACTTGTTCCTCCTAAATCCAGCCTGTTTCGGTTGAAGTTTCTCATCCAGGACTTGTTTGATTCTCTCCATGATGATGCGGCTTAGTGTTTTGCTTGGGGTGGACAGGAGCATAATTCCGCGCCAGTTCTTGCATAGACTTAAGTCTCCTTTCTTTGGCAGTTTGAGTAAACAGCCTTTCTTCCAGTCCACTGGTACCTTGCCTTCTTTCCACACCCTCTCCAGTAGTGATGTCATCAAGCTCGCTGATATCTTTGGGTCCATTTTCAATGCTTCTGCTGGGATTACATCTAGTCCTGCTGCTTCTCTAGTTCTTAGCATCTTTATTTTCTTCAGAATTTCTGTTTTCGTCAGAGGGTTGATGCCCACTGTTAGTTCTGCTCCCTCTGTTGGTATTATTGGCCGCGTTTTAGATGGCAGTCGATTTAGAAGTTTTTCGAAGTGTTCAGCCGAGTGTTTCCTTTGCTCCACCTCTTCGGTGATTGACTTTCCATTGTCATCCTTTATTGGCTTAATTTTTGTTGAACTTTCCCCCGATAGGAACCTAGTTGTTTGCTACAGTGCTACGAGGTCTGCTTTGCCTTCAGCTTGTTCTGTTTCACTTGCTATAGCTTCATAATATTTTCTTTTGTCTTCCTTGACACTTTTCTTCACTCTTCAGATCAGTGTATTGCAGCTTACATTAAACTCCTGTTTTGTTGCTCGTCGATGCATTGGATAATCTTTTGTTTCATCATCCTTCTGTTTTCTACCAGTCTCCATGTGTCTGCAGTGAGCCACTCTTTGTCCTGTCTCTTCTTTCTGACTAGGACTTCCATGCAAGTTTGACTCGACACCGTTTCCAGGCTATTCCAGTGCTTTTCGACGCTGGTCTTTTCTCTAGCGTTGATTTGTATCTCCGCCTTTTTCCTTATGTTTACAGTGGAAATATTTGTTGTATCCTGATCCTTCAGATTTTGAGTATTGAACTTGGCTTGTGGTCTATCTGCGGCTGCTGTTCCCTTGAAAGTTTTCAATTTGATTTGGAGTGTTCCTTGCTCGAGATAGTGGTCTGAGACAACGTCTGTTTCTCCTTTTACTTTTATGTCCAATAAGCTGCGTCTCCACTTCCTCGAGTAGCATTGAGATGCAGTCAGTTTGTTTTTTGACTCGCCCGCCTGGTGACACCCATGTAACCTTTTGAATATACTTTTGCTTGTATACGCTGCCACCAATCACTAGACCACTGAAGGCACAGAAGTCAGCGAACAGTTCTCCGTTTTCATTCTTCTCTCCGAGAGCTTCTCTACCCATAATGAGTTCTCTTCCTGTGTTGTCTGATCCCAGTTTGGCGTTCATGTCTCCCATTAGTACTTTAATGTCACCTACCGCAGTATTGTCTATTGTTGCCTGTAGTTTTCTGTAGAACTCTACTTTCTTTTCGAGGTGTGCATTGTTTGTGAGTGCATAGCATTGTATAATTGTCACTTTCCTTCCTTTTGAGTTGAATCTGGAAGTCATTATCCTGGGCGACATTGACTCCCATTGTATCAGGTCCTTCGTTGCCGTTGGTTAAATCATGATGGCTACACCCTTGGTGTGCATTTGGTTTTCTTCTGGATGACCGGAGTAGATCATTGGCTCTCCAGTTGACAATTCGGTCAGTCCACTTCCATTTCATCCGCTTACGCATATTCCAGTACCTGAATACCATATCTTTTCATCTCGTTTGCAGTTTGAGCAGCTTTGCCAGTCTCATACATGGTGCAGACGTTACATGTCCCCACACAGACTTTTTCTTTTCTCACAAGGGGACTCATCGTACTGAAGTTTCTGTAGCAGCTTTGTTTACAGGATGGGGTTGCTAGCCTCACGCCTGAGAAGGAGGTTGTTACATAAATGTATAGTTTACAGAGGAGCGACATTTTGGGTTGCACCCCCTAGAATCAGGTAAACAATGAATAAGCAATCAGAACAACACTAGCAACAGGGAAAAATTCACTACAGCAAGGGCAGAGACAACAACAACAACAAAAGAACCCGTAGCAGGTGAGCCAAGTATATCATGCTGGTGAATTCTGAACGCAATAACGTTTCAACAAAAGTTAATAGGCAACAAACTAATAAAATAGTATTAATCTGTTTGATTCATGGAATAATAAAAGAAAGAACTGCTAGAGATTAAAAAAGATGTAGTATAACTTTAGGAAACCATGAGAAACGTATGTTTCGTTTTTACCTTCTGCAAAATACTAACGATTCCATACTTCTTATTGACTTTAATGTTTTAACTGACAGTTAAACACCTTTTGATTTTTTTCTTAGTGAGTTAAAAACTCTTTTACAACTCACAACATTTTCCAGTGTAACTATGAAGCTAAAAGTAATTGGCCTTATGAAAAAGGGTGTTATTCAGATTTTGTAATTAACTGGATTATAACAAGAAAAATTTGAAACCATGCAATTCATTTATTTCCTGCTTCATTAATGAATATCATAGGAGGAAATAAGTGTTGGGAAAAACTGCATTTAGGCCTTCAGTGTAATATTAAAGCATGTACCCTGGAAGCAAGACATATTTCTAGAGAACGATAAAAATTCATTTGCGATATGACACACATTCAAACCTAAAAGAAATATATCAACTTTTATCACTAAATAAGGGCTTCCTGCAAAACATTTTAAATGATTTTCACACAAATCAGTGATGATCAATGTTATTCAGATGAAAGTAAAAGCATTTTCGGAGAGCTCATTAACAAATGAACTCATTATTTCTGTATAATTTTAAAAAGAGAAAAGAAATGCAAAGCATGCAGCTTTGTCACGGTAGATATTAGTTTCGAACCATGTCTGACAGCGTCTTGGGTCAATGAGTCATATAACCTCTTGACGCAGTGAGTTAACTAACTTACAGAAGTATTCTTTATCGGATGGATTCACGTCACAAACAGATAATTCCAATGATAAGGGAACACTAAATAACCTGGAGGATATTCATGATAAGTATACTCATCTCCATTGTCGCGTACATCAACGAAATGAAAAAATATTTACAAAATGCAGTCACACATGACAGAGAAGTTTATTGAACAGGCATTATCCACTAGGAGGGACCAGTTTTAACATTGTGACATTCGATACCGGCTTGTTTGATGGCCTGGGGAAATTCGTGAAAATGTACACAATGGATTTGTCATAAAATCGTATTCCTTACATCCCCAGTCAAAACTGTAAAAGGTACCTTAATACGCAGAATATTTGACTAACACTCACAGTTTATTTTAGAAGAAGTTTCAAGCTATTATCTTTTATTAATCTCCCGAAGTGCTTCGCAAATGCCTGCAAGACACGTGACATAGATATATTGAACACCAGCTAATTGACTTCGTTGATTGGAGAGTAACTAGTGTCATGTGCATATTACTTTGTTTACAACAGACTGAATTCTGCCAGTCGGGTTTACAATTTAGCCACCATGCTAGGTGGCTGGCCATCACGGTGCACTCAGAGTTGTTGTTATTAGTTTGCTGGAGGCAGTTGGCGGGATCCCTAGCATGGTGACCACATTGTAAATTTAACTGATAGAATTCAGTCCGCAGTAAACAAAGGACTAGACACATGACACTGGTGAGTGTGCAATCAAAGTATCTAATAGAGTCCTACTGGAGGTCAATCGTGAGCCCGGATAGCTCAGTCGTAACGTTTCTGACTGCACACCGGGTGACGCGGGTTTGAATTTCAGAAATGACACAAGTTCCTTCAAGATTACAGATACGGCTCACTGACGAGCACAAAAAAGCACGAAACCTATGTCCAAGGATTTCCACCAACTGCTTTCAACCATCTAATGATAACTGACTTAGTGTAATTCAGGCAACTTTTATGATACTTGCATTCATGAATGGTCTTTCTTCAAGATTTTCTACGGCTCTTAACTATTCTAAAGTAGTTGAGGTATAGTGAGCCACGTTCCCAAAACTTCAAAACGACTCATTGATCTTCCCACCAATCATTTTACATTCGATTTGTGGAGTATAATAATAGTCAATACTTTTTACAATGCTAATTATAAAAAGACACTCTCCTGATCATCATAGACATCTTTAAAATCGTTATAAATATTGGTAAAGTGACACACTAATTTCCAATTTGTGGGATTCACTTAGTTTGTCACATCGCAAACACTCTAATCACCAGCGTAACTATTTTATTATTTCCAAACACCTGAAACAGATCCGGTATTTCAGCTTAATTCCATACTTTAGCTTTCTCAAGTGAACTGGTGTTGACCAACTATCAGAAAATCTAATTAATTGTTTGATATCTATAGAAGTTGTCAATTCTTATACTACACTCTTCACTACATTATCAGTGACTGACTGCAGGGTGATCTATTCTGAAAGAAGCCTAAGTAACAGTTGACGGACAGGGCAACTTGGGAAGAGGGTAATTTTCGGTTAGAAAAAGATTGGGATGAAACAGGTCAGAACATTCTCGCATGCAACTAGAAATTCTTCACTGCCTGTTCAAGTGATACTCACTTGTGCATTCCAATCATCACCTTGATCAACCGTCAAACGCATTTTTCGAAGACAATCAGTTTGATAAATGTTTTATTCCTAATTTTTTTGGCACAGAATATGTTAATCCTTATACAGGGATAGTGATAAAGTATTGCTCTAATAGCACATGACGACTTAAATAAATCTAATCTCTTCACCCAATACGACAGATATAACAGTGAGTGATTGAGGATCCAGTGAAGCAGCTCAAGTTTAGGTCTAATGCTTGGTGTGAAATTTAGACTCGTTTGAAAGGCACAATTAACATACAAATACTGGGTGAACTCATACTAAACATACATTCTGAACCACCGCGACCAGAATTGATTAGAAGGACTTTGCCGGGAACTTCTAATGTTTTGGAATGCGCAGAGTGTAAGACGCTTAAGGTTCTCGGGTAAATATGTCTGAAATGAAGCACAAACGCTCTGGATGACACTTCTAAGCGAGAAATATGGTCTCTTGTAATTAAACACCACCTTGCTCGGTAAGTTTGTACTAACACTCACTTAGAGACAAAAACTGGGGCAGAAGGGAGAGCATTTCACGCAAATAAGGTAAGGTTTCGTGAAACATAGAGTAAGGCTAATTTGAGGATGTTATGTGTAAGTGAAAATATGCAATATGATAGTAGAGTAGAGACATTTTCACTGTAGTTTTCCAGTCGTGACAACCTATTAAAGTGTAATACATCTCTGACACCTCAACTAAAGCTAAAAGTTGTCTTAGGAAGTCAGTCCCGCAGGTCATGGAACGAAACTTCTAGTCTGCAAATCAGAGAATGAATGCCACAAGATACATTCTTATAGTTACTGACGATCGAAACAGAATCAAATTGTATCCAATATCATTTACATTCAGGTGACTGTGTGTTTCAATGGTATATGACCAGAGCTTCGCAATTCTCAAAGCTACCCGAAACACTTACACATACAAAAGAAACTATATGAATTCATGACACTATAAAAGATATCTTCGAATTCTGAATTCTTGAGCCGGTTTACTTCTCTCACATGATTAGCTAAAACGATGCTACATGAAGCTTTTGGTACTTACACTTACACAAAGTAGTGTATAGTTAAGTTATAAGCATACAGTCTAAATTAATAGGAGAACAATCATGAAAGTGCAATAAGCACAAAATCATTCCACCGAAATAATTGAAATCCCCGTAAGGTTTCAGTTACAACTTCATTGAGCATAATACTATAACTCCGAGAGAATTTCAATACGCTTCTCTACAACATTTGGAGTTATACTGACTTGATAATGAATAACAAACTGTATTTCAAAAGTTATCCAGTAAACCATTCCGCTTTTGTGAGCCATGTGTCTGTTAAATAAACACACAGAGTACTACATAGTGATAAAGATCTGGCGAGAAACTATACAAATTACTTTTCGGTGCCTGAATAATTAGGTGTTAGAATCATTGAGTGGTGAATGTAAAAAAGAAATTAAGAAGAAATTTGTTAGAAAGGTTACAGAAGGCTTTTGTTATCTGTGTTTTGAAAACGCACTCACTTTCTCACCACTTTCAGTAGTTCGAATATTTTCCAGTACTGTCAAGCACATAGATTTTCGGGAAGTGTTATTATTCATTCTCGCTCGTGAACTGTGAATATTAAAGATAATAAAAATGCCTGCTTCAGTGAAATTTAAACAACTTACGAAATTAGCAGCATTAAATGAAAGAAGCTCATTGACAAGATTTTACACACTTTTTTTAGTTTGTCTATGTGAATTATTAAGTATGCATGAATGTGTTTAATTCTCAATTTTGCATGGAAAATCACCATATGCAGATATGGCAATGCTGTATTTTTGTCTGAATATTTTGATGCAACACCATCTTTTACTTTTGTTTTATTTCAGTGCTTACACAGATCCATTTCTGTACCAAATGATACAAAATGAAGACACAAATAAATACCTAACTAGCATTGAAATTCCTTAGTGTAACTGTCTCTTTCCCCCTATCTCTATGTTGACGAACCCCTCAAGTTAAAACTGTCATTCTTATTCACAAAAACTATTTTCTTTTCGGAATTCTTACCCTCCACTTCTTTTTCTGGAAGGCTATGACCACTTCACAAATAGGCATGACCACCCAATAAACCTTACATTATGTGGCATACGAATGGAGATGCTGTCATGGAAAATTGTGCACAAAGTAACATTGCTCAAAAAAAAAATAGTTGTACAACTCAGAAGATTACAACGAATCATGCTAATTACATCAAAATTAATGTCTTAACTTACACTGCTGGTGAACCATTCACGATTTGTAACTGTTAAAAACAATATTAAAGATCACTATCAGTTTAAATGACTTAAAAACAGAATAATATAGAATAATATTGGTGAGCTATTTATAAAACTATAGATGTCCAGGCACACCAATTATTCATATCAGTTCGAACAGTTTATTTCCAAAATGCATTTCATTCATGGAAGTGGAATTCCTTATTTCCTATCAGTTTTATGCATCAGTCTTTCACCGTACATAATCATTAGGATTTTCCTTCTGGGTACACACAAGAATTAGATACAGATGAGTCACTGAAAAAGCAAAACATAGTCACTTTTTAATTTATTATGCGTCTGTAAAATCCAATAGCAGAATTTTATAAATGTCTCTGACCATAATGCGTTTAAAAGAGACTGAATCATACCACAACTGAAAAAGGCCTTTCATTGATCACCTGATGAAAACAATCCAATGCCAGAATGCTTGTGGTTAGGGTAAAATCATCACTTTTATTATGAAATGTAGATCAAAAGATTAAAATTGGTCCAAATCAAGTAATGAAGATACCTGCTGGTTAACAGATGACTACTAGTCAAGCTTTATAATAAGTATTTTAGTTTGATAACGCCAACCGAAATATGTCACAAAAGCTATAGAGACAGCAATTATAATTTTGATCAGGTTTGCAATTTCTTTGAAATACATATTCAGAAAGGTACTTATCAACGTATCTGGTCTGTTAAAGTTTCACTCAACTAAGGAATGTTCTCACATATCTTAAGCATTTCAATTCAACAACGGAATACATTGTGAGCTTAATAGACTTAAATACTTTTGAAATAATAAACTGGATTTGACTAAGTCACTTTAATTGAGTGAGGCTTACACTCACAGATGGAACTAAAAACGAATTTAAACTTACCGGTTTATTTAAAGATGAACGGCGGTCCCCATCTATCACTAGGATACTAGGTCTTGATTTAGGAGTAGGACTAATGTTGGACTGTGATAATCTCTGGGCAAACAACTTGTCATCTGTCAAAGACCGCTTATTACCCATTTCTATAAGAGAGATAAAATGTAGTAAGTGAAATGTTTATTACCTGTTAAAGTTGGGCTGACACAAAATTCACCAGATATCGTTGTATTACATCCTTCGGTATCCACATCACAAAGCACTTTGAGATGAAGTCCAACTAATGTACGCGCTAGTGAAGAGTAAATGTGTATTCGGCCTTCACGCCATGTCCAGCTAACCGTCTGAGTGTTTTTCCTCACAATCAATGGTCTTTCTGCAAAGCAAGATTTAACACATTTTATGATTATTGTGAATATACTTAAGACTACTGACTGAGAATATAAATTATAGTGTGGAAAATGGATGTAACTACTGGGGAACTGAGGCAAAACTTTTCTTTATAGTCCTCATGTTTATTTATTTCACACATGTTTTATATCCTTAAAAAAGTCAATTTATCTCCCAAAGGTTATACTTTTAAGCCCTCGATAAAATTTACTAGCCAAAAAAGCCCGGTCCCAGCATGTCTGTTAAGCATAACTCGTTGTCCTGATATATGCAAAGTTATACGATAAATTTCTTCACTCCTTGCTAATCTATGTAACTAACTGTGTCCCTCAGTTTTGGATATTGGTTAGATCATTTAAGTGATATGTAAAGTTGTGCTCTTCTGAAAGAACCATAACGATAATCAATTCAACAAACAAATAACTCTAACTGATGTCAGTTCATGATGAAAATCCTGTAAACAAATAACAGGCAGAAGACACCACTAATACTCGAAACTGAACTAACTAGATAACGAAACTAGACATAAAATTAATAAAGCAATGAAAATGTGTGACAGCTCTCTATTACATTGACAGAAGAAACTCAAAATTATGCTAGATTCCCATTTCATAAGATGATGACCTCAAGGATATGAAAGTTATTAACTATTCAGTCTGAGTCAAGATATTAACTAATTACACTTCCCCAAAATAAAGGCTTCATTCAGAATAACCAGCAAGATATTTTGAGGTGGTGAATTATTTGTTTAACTTTCGGACAAAGTTTTACAATAAATATCCAGTTAACATTAGATTAGGTATAACTGTAACTACAGGGGAAATAATGTTAAATTTCTCGTATTCATTGATTTTATTTGTCACCTGAACGAATGAACAACACTGAGTAACTGGGATAAAAATTCACTACAAGTAAATGGAATACTTCTCCTCGATATCCTGCTTCTAAAACGTGCTTCATATTGCAAGTTTCTCATTTTAAAATTCCTTCTCGTAGTTTAGCTGCATTTTAGATTATCTAAGTATTAACTAACCGAAAAGTGGATAATTATTAGAAGGAAAAAATTATCATACTAATGACCACGTAAGTAAAATATTTTATCTATTTTGGTTTCGACACTAGAAATCAGTGTGTTGATCAACAGTATTCAGCACAATGAACTACATCTGAATTTTTGAAACTGATGTCAAGTCACTGCTTCTGTATGGATCAGACACTTAACTCATGCGACCTGAAAAGTATTGACAACAGGCTGCTGCAGATTTTCATCAATATCTACAGATGAGGATACTGAAGCCAGCCGGGATGGCATCGGGAAAGCAATACATGTGTTCTTCACTCTGAAATCAGCATGGATATCTGCAGTACTCAGCACAACGGATAAAATCAGAATTTTTAACACAACTGTGAGATCACTGCTTCTCTATGGTTCAGGAACTTGTCTATCGCGTTACGGAACTCATCAACAAGAGGCTAGTGCAGACTTTTTATCAACATCTACCTTCTGTGACTCAATACTGAAGATCAGGTGACCGATCAGAAAGAATAAGCAACAAGAAGATCCGGTAGCGTAGCGAAACAGTGGACAAGAAACTATTGCCCATCAAATATACGGAAAGAAGTGGAAATACTCTGAGAAGACTGTTAGGTAACATCGGAACCACGCCCTCGAGTGGGACCCAAGTAGAAAGTAACGAGTTGGGTATCCGAGTGTTACATGAAGCATATCATGTGAGAAAGAAGCGAAAGGGTACAGGCAAACACAGGGGCAGTTAAAAGAGACATCAGAGATCAGAGTAATATGGAGATATGCTGTTGAAAACCTACGCTTCACCCAAAATCCAAGAGACGAATAAAGACGATATTAAAAGCTGATACTGAATCAAAGAGCAATCAGTGTTCTAATGCATTACATTTAACTTTCACAAATACTGTTCGTCAGAAACTATCTCAAATTCTTCATCATACTTAACTTCAACGAGACTTGTGATGTTCTAATCAAATTCTTATTTAGCTGGTTTTTTCCCTGAAATATTCTGAAATACACTAGTTAAAGTAATTGAATTACCTACCTTTTGTATTCCCTGAAGTCTTTTCATTTTCACTCACACTTGGCGCTGATTTGGGAATAGGAGACGTCAGAAGTTCTTGTCTAACCTGCCAGTTCTCTAACACTTTGTTCATTAAATAGCGGAGACGAATAGGATTTTTTGAAGCACTAATGACTAGTACAAAAAGATGTGTGACAGATTATAATTAGTGTATTAAATAGTTTATACAGCATAGTACCTAATACAATTAAATTCCGAATCAAATCTGACTAAAACATAAATGCTTCAGAAATAACTGCAATACATCACTTAACTTAGCAGCCACACTGAACTCTTGATGGCTGGAAATTAGTAGACCCTAAAGACTGGACTCTTATAATGACTTAATCTGGAAGGTGATTAGTTGAAATTTGTTGTTTTTTGGAAATTAAATGTTCAGTTGCAAACAGTCATAGGTGAAGTAAACACGATCAGGAGAATAGTATACATTCTCATTTTAGAGGGAACTTTCCATACAGGAATTGTTCAATTTAAGCTATTTGTGTGGGACACTTCAAGGAAGACTGTAAAATCATCAGCTAAATGCATTAGAATAATTGTAAAGTGGCGGTAATTTTGAAGAAAAATCTTATACTTTCACATACTTATGAAATTACAAGTGTGATTTAACAAATTTTTCTTTCTAAATTGTAGCATCCATGTAATTCATGCTGATGGCTTTCATCGCTTATTCTCAAATCCCCAAGCATTGGATGAATACCGCAAGCCGCAACTCGAAATCTTATCCTATCGACCATGACTTAGAACCCATGCAAAACAACTGTGGATGTAATAGAGTGACAAAATTAATGTCTCTAGCCTCAAGGAAAATATATCTTCAGCAAAACATAAATCTAGTTAGTTGGAACTGATTTTTCATGTGCCAGTTTTTGAGCCACATACATTCGATATATAGGCTGTTCGTGCTATCCAGTTGGCCAGGCTAAGGTAGGTGGAGTGGGACATTCACACTTGACTAAATGACTGAAAGTCGAGTGCTTAAGCCACTAATCCACTTATTGACGGGAATACAAGTCTATTCAGCATTCCAGATAATGTTGAATTTTCGATGTCACTAAATGGTAGATAAGCGTGTAATTTTGTTTTCAATAAAATTTTTGACGGCTTTACTCTGACACACATTACGGTGCAGATTAATATTTAATATAAGCGAATCACTTTGACTTCAGAAGGATAAGGATGTGAATTTCACCGTCAGAGTCAATTATATGCATATATATATATATATACGGTGGCTCTGTTTCAGGCTTTTCCATGGACATACTACGTATTTATTATTTTTTATGAACTGATTTACTGACCCACACGAAGACATGAAATATTTGTGAAATCTGGGGAGTGTCTTGAAGGACAAAACAAAATGCTTTTAAGAGTGCTATATAGAGATCAATGCAGGCTTTAGCAATACGACTATGTGACTGCATTAAAAGCACATCATTTTCCTTTATGGGCGTATACATTTTCTGTAGCAGTAAGAAATTGGATCTATAACTTCAAATTAAAAACCAATGAAAAAAAACACGTTTCTGAATTTAAAATATACTTAAAATTCTCTGCCTTTTTTCTTTATGAAATGATATTGCACAGAGATAAATGGATGTAAGTAGTAACTGAAAGCAAAAAATGTTGATATTCGTTAACTAGTCTTCCGAAAAATATCAACTGTGCTTGAAAACAATGGAAATTCCAACAAAATGATTGGTTTTTATGAAACTTACATAAGGTTAGGAATAAATTGCACGCACTAGCACGAACATTTTCAGATGAATGGCTTAGATAGAAGTCGACTAGGCTGTTCTGTAAACTTCCAGTATTTGGAGGCAGGTTATTTTCGCCAACTTTCTGAATAAATAAAAACGAACGTTTTGATCAAACTCATCAACAAAAAGTGAAACATTAAACTAACATTCTATTCAAGTGTTGCTTTACAGGGGCTTGATAAGTTTCTGGACTTCATCATGATCTGACATCGAATAGAGAACTACTGGAAAACCTGGGAGTACTGGACAGTCGTTTCGTACTTTTCCGGGGCTCTTCACCGGCACGCACCCACTGAGGTTCGTACCTAGGACCTCCTGGTTACAAGACGAGCTCCCAGACCATTCAGCCACTGGGACGCGATCCAGTGGTACATGAATTCTAACTTCTGCCAATTCATGATATGGCATGACCACTGGCAAATGTTATCGGCGAGTATTTGTCCTCACACCCGACCTGCTGCACCCCACAAATGATGAATTTTCACTAGAACTCAGGTAACTACCCACCTGAAAAGGGCAAGTTACTAGTGAGCATCAAATTGATATTCAAGTATTGGTTTGTAGGGATCTAATTTCATAGACAAAGTTTTAGTCTTAATATTATTATTCCATTGGATTCCAAGTGAAACAGTAGCATACTGCCACATAACCACGGCATTACAACATAATGTTGGAGATTTGGAAAATAATGTTGTTCTCAGCGTAAACTATGATGTAAATGAGGAAATCTAAAAATGATTACTCAGTCTTATTTAATCTGCGCTGCTTTTGAAGCACTGGGATGTAAATTGCGATTTATCGGTTTTACAAACGGCATACTAGTTGGTATTGCAACCAAAGAAAATTGAGGAACTATAGACAGTGTTTTACTATTCATTTTTAATACTATTATTGCTTTATATGTTTTACGGGAAATAACAGAGTATTGGGTCACTGTGTATAAGGTGATAGTGAGACTAGAAGGCGGTTTAAGCAATGATCTTAGTTACTTTTCATTTATTAAGCTACAAAAGAGTATAAACTAATCGTGCCAGGCAAAGCTTAACAATCTGATGAGACCAAACGTCTACCATTGTCTAACTTCATTTAAATGTCCAGCTTGATAGCATTTGTGTAGTTTAATTTCTACATAAAACAAGTTCCAATATTCAAATAATTCCTAACTGTCTGTAGTATCAGAACGTAAGGATTTTGACAAAAATTACCACAAAAGAAACCACGAAAGATCATTAAAACTTACTTTGATCAGATATCGACAAAGGTCTAGCAGAGTCTCACAGTATTTAGGACTGGTTTTCCAGCTCTCTAATTTTGAAGGCTTTAAGCAGTTAACAAACAAAAACAATTTTGACATAAGAATGGAACTTGTGCACTGTGGTAGAGTATAATTCCATTGTGGGAAAAATTTTATTTTGGTAGAGTCTCACAGTGTTAACAGTAATATTTACTGATGACGTTTCGAACACAATTTATTGCTCATAATCATCTCAAGGTGATATGAAATGATTACGAGAAATAAATTGTGTTCGAAACGTCATCAGTAAATATTACTGTATAACACTGTGAGACTTTATCAAAATAAATTTTACCCACAATGGAAAAACAATTTTGACATTAAATTTCTACCCAGATTGTAAAACAGAGTATTAAACTAACAGATCCATTATTCTACACAGTGAAAGGGAAATGAAATAAATTATCAAGCTTCATTTAGACACAACTACTCTTACCTCCTCCTTCATCAAGCACTTTTTGGAAGAGACACAATAAATCAGTAACAGATCTTTAACAAGGTTTCTTCATGTACATTAAAGCGGTTCGTTTATTTTTTCACCATTTGCTTACAATAAACGCTACAGATGTAGTTGTGAGAAAGAATTTTGTGAATTACTGCTTCAAATCGATTAATATTACGAGAAATCCGTCCAGACAACAAGTAATTGTTGTCATTCTGATGAACTCATTCAGTCAATCTCCATTTCCCTAAGTATTACTGGTCAGTAGTCTATGATTTTGTGCATTTATGGCTTCTTTTGGTCTAGACACCTATAATTATTTTATAACATTGCACTTATTCGTTTAACGTCATCTGTCAGGGTAGCCACCAGTTTCTTATGTATAACAATTCACCTAATGAAGTCTCATAACACTATTGATAGACCCATCTTTTTTACCTAACATTCTACACATAACTTAACCATGCTGCTCGGATTAACATCAGCAATTTAAAGAAGGTACTTTTGAACAGAATTTTTCTGTCCTCTTATATCTCTAATTTTTAATTTTCACGTCCCATAGTCATAAATTAGCAAAGGAAGTGTGGTTTAGGACATTCACACATTGACAGGTAGAGTCAAAATCCCTCTTGCCCCAAAAATGACGCTAGTTGGTAAGCGCTCTTTCAGCTTTGTGTTCTTGCTGAGATTACTTCAGTGACCAATTCAGTAGGTCACAGCAATGCTACCTACAAGAAACGTGACAAATTCTTATAGAGTGTACAAATGAAATTCCTTCCAACTAGAGAAGTGGAAGCAATTCATATTCTATAAATTGAACTCAATAAAAAAGAGGATCGTTCATTTTTTGAATGTTAAGACTTTCAAGTAAACATTTACATTTGGGGATTATTTTACTTCTGTAACTGTTATATCAAATCTTTTATTATCCTATTTCTATCATACGGTTCTAATTTCTCATAGTTCCATCGGTTCTTTTCAGTATATTATATCATTACAAGATGAATCTCGCTTTAATTTTTACAAGGTCTTCATGTATTTGGTGGAACTTTAGTATATATATATATATATATATATATATAATGACTGCATTGTTATCGCGGTGTCATTTAATTCCATGGGCCACTTTACTTGACATTCCCCTGACAGATTATTAGTTGAAATGCATATATATATATATATATATGAAAAATGAAGACGATGTTATATTGTAAGTCAGTCGTAGTTGCTTAATTCACATATACCTATTCTGTAAGCCTTCATTCGATGTCATCCAAAACTTATCTGTGGAAGATGTAAGCAATAGTTTTAGCCTCAGCAACATACTAAGTGTATAAAATCTTTTACTTATTGTGAACAATCACCTGAACATATAAACCCGAAGCGGTGACAAAAAGCATCATTTTGCAAAAAATTATTTTTTTAAATAAAAAAGAACCCTCATCTAATTCTGTTTCAGCTGATCATAAGGAAGGAAAGAAAGATATGGTGAACGGTTTTATGCTTAAATGAAACTTACTGTATTTTCTTGACTAGATATATGCTTTGCACCAGCACTTATACACAATTCTTTCACAATCTGATCGACAGTTTCTTTGAGTAACTAACACAGCACACAAAAGATAATAAGAATATTCACAATCGTTAAAAACGCAATAATAGGATCAATTATAATAAACAGTTTAACTATAGATCACCAGCACTATTGTTGTCACAACCTCACATGCTTCCTTCAAATGGTTGTTTATTAAAGTCTGGAAGGAGCAGTCAACAAACCAGCAGCAAGGTTTATATGACATGGAATAAATATACTTGAACAGAGTCAAGCAAAGTGCAAGACGATGAAGTGAGGGAAGTCTAATGTAAAATAAGTAACTGTATCTTTAGGTGAGACAAAGTCTGTATGACAACGAATGATCCATGTATGTCTACAGATGACAAACGATATTTCAAGTATCTTTACTAAATCACACTCAATTCAATTAAAATCATTTGAGAGACGTGGTTCAAAAAGCCTATAAATCAACAGGCAGTTCAGACGATAAGAAAGGACGTGAATGGAATTGTGTCGGCCATTGGTATACTTGCTGAGATAATATGAATTCTTGTGAGAATTTTCAGAAAAGTATATTTGAATATTTTCATTTTGTCATTCAAGCCCTATCACAAAATATTGGGAAACTGCTATGTGATTTTCAGAATGCCATTTTGAAGACATAAAAATGGAAGAATTTAGAACCTCTGTTCAACTGTTAACGTGCATATCAAAATGGTTTTGCACAATTCATAAAAGCAGTTGAAGCAAACTGCTCTCATACTTTGAAGAAATCTTATTTCATAATGGACTAAATACACATTAAAAAGACTGAAAGTAGGATTGCAAATTGTTGTCAAAGATTCACCTCTGACTTTAACTTGCACACAATATATTCGGAAGAATATGAACTTAGAGTCTAATATTAACAGAAATGTGAACCTTCAAAAAGTAAACACGTAAAATAAAAGTTTCAACCTACCTCGGGTTTACATCGGTGAAGGCACGTCAAATAAACTCGAACTGCAGCTTTACGGACATGGAGGTAATCACTGTTAAAAAGGTTTGAAGTAATTGCACGTATTCGTGGGAACATCTGGCTTTGGATGAAATCCTATATGAAATACAAAATGAAATTTTGAATAAAATAACAACAAGTTAATAAAATCAAATCTGGTGAATTAAATCATATATCGCTATTGTGGCATAATTTCTGATAACCCTTTTAAATATTATGATATCCAACAAAATAAACTTTATTTGCTCACCGAGGAATACTGGCAGACCAAAGGGTTTGACTTTGACGCACCTTCCACCTCCATACTTGGTGAATTTACAGGAGACAGTTGTTCGCTAGGTAACAGCCGTTTTAACAAAAGGTTGAGCACTGAAGACAAAAAACCGTTATTTCTGTATTAAAAGTATTATAAAAATATTTACATATATAGAATTTTTCACACTGGCATGCACTGATCAACAAAATATTTGGGAACATTTGTTAAAATAAAGAATAAACAGGAAGAAAACTATTGACTACTGCAATGAGATACATCAAAAAGTCAAACGTTTCTAAGCTCTTATTTTCAAATTATCGTGTGGATTGAATGGAATCTTTCATACAGTTCTTTAGTAATGTCAAGACTTTGTGACCCACTTAGACAAATAGCCATCATGTTAATGGTTAATAATATAAGATACTTCCTGTATGGTCTTACTTTAATGATTTTATCTTGTTTAGCTAACTGATATTTCAACCATTTTATCGCTTTAGTGTTTACCGGTAGACTATAAAATGCATAATAGCACTATATTCGTTTGTTCTACTTAATTAAACTACAATGATTATCTTAACTATATGATCGTAAATAGTAAGGGGAGTTTTTCCTGCTGTTATGTACACTTGTTCAATCGATCACGACAGGAGATTATCATGAACAAGATGTTTGATATTACCCCTAAATTTACTAATCATGTAAGTTGCAATAGAAAGTGTTGAGATTATCAAGTAAGACAGAGTTCAAAATACTAAAAGTACTCTCTCTCTTTCTATGATGCAAACTAATAATCCTGCAATACCCATTACAAGGCAGTATTCGTACTAAGGCCGCACAAATCGTTTATCGTAAACATTCATGAGGTTCTTTAACTCTTTTGGGATCACCATCACTCACTTGGGATGCATATATCTGACAAGGCCCAATTGTGTGAAACATACAATCTGAATTTGACTGCTGAAAACAAGTAAACTTGAACTATTAACTAAGTCGTATAAATTCTTTTGGGTAGTCAACTTGGTACTTATAACTTTGCGCATACTCACATCACTCCAAGATGAAAACTTCAGACAGCACATTGCATAAGGCCAAAGAAATATGTTGGAGGATTTCATCGTGAGCTGACATCAGTTAGAGAACCATTGGAAAACTAGCTTAGAGTTCTGGACGTCTGTTTTGTCCTAGTTTCGGACTCTTCATCATTACCCGGCCACTGCCAGAGTTCGAACCCAGGACCTTCTGGTTACAAGGTGAGCTCCTAAACCACTAAGTCACTAGGACCCGATCCAATAGTCCATGAATTTTAACTTCTGCCAATTCATGACGTGGGGCGACCACTTAGCGATGTCTTCGATGAGTAACTGTCCTCATGGTGACCAGTAGGTTGGAGCAGGTCGCACTCTGGTGGTGGTTGGTTAATGATGAAGAGTCTCAAACTAGGACGAGACAGATGTCCAATACTATAAGCTAGTTTCTTAATGGTTTTCTAAGTGATGTCAGCTCACGATGAAATCCTCTAAGCAGTCAAACAAAATTCACTACAAACCAGTGCTTGAAAAAAATTTGTGTTTGAAAGAATAGTTGAATGAGTGCGGATTACATAAGAAACCTTCGAGAATGTAAAAAGTTAACATGATACTAGATACAGAACACTGGGAAAAATGTTATTTGCAACACAAAACTGAGACAGGTAGCAATACTCAGAACACAAGTTAAAAATGATTTTAAAGCCTTAGAAAAATCAGGGACATAAGGAAACGAGACGCATATTATGAGATTATAGGAAAAATGCGTATCAGAAACACCATCTAGAAAATGATTTTCCATAGCTTTGTAAATGAAATAGGACAAATAGCTAGAGAAGGTCTAGACTACCCAGAAATAACTTAACAATGATCTTAGAAAAATAGCAAGAGTATGAGCATTATCTGGAGGAAACTAACTGATAAGTCAATGACAAACCTGGCAATGAAGTGAATCACCTCAGTTTTATAAACACGGAAATAGCGTTCACCAAAGAGGAACGTGTTAAAAATATACTGCAATAGATAAACATCAGTATGAAGAAAGAATCATTTTGAGCATTTCAAAGATGGTTAAAAGTAAATACATCTAAGCAACTGTAGACGGCTTACGGTAATATCGTTAAGTCCTCGATCTCAGAATAATGGTTAGTGTGTTCATCGATCAGTGACAGGTCGTTATAGTTCAACTCATTTTCAGATAACTCTGCTCCTCAACGAAGACAGGAACTAAGAATTTTCAAAAATGTCCGAACATCACAACTGATGAAGATTTCCAAACTGACACAAACACTGAAATATCTGATTAACATGCGCTTCTCATTATAATTTAGTTTTACTTTCTATGTTGTCCCACCTAATATGAACGGCTGGATAAAAATACTTGTGGTCTAAAAGTTGTGATATTTTTTTCCACTTCTTCTACTCTCAGTGACCGGAACTCATAGAACTATAGAACTCAAAAAACAAAGTTATGTGCAGTATGCACTCCACTTTATGATTAACTGCACTAGGAATAGAACATTTCTACATATAACTAACCATCTTTTCACATCTATGATAAGGATATGTCAGCAATCAGTCCATCAGTGTGAACTAAACTTCTTCATTTATTGGAGCGATTAAATAACTCAGCAAATTCTCTTTTTATTCATAAACTGAGAGTTGGTGTAGATCTGTCTGTGGTGGTGTGATACAAACAATGTGTTCCAACGGAATATTATTCTCACGTATTCCCACTGTTTAATACTGCGTTAGCAACAGAATACCAAATGCATTCTATCTCATTTCGTTAAATGTAAATCAAAATCACACGCCCAGTGATTGATTAAAGAATATAAACTGTATAGATATAAACGGCTGTGTGATCAATTGAAAATATACCTTGGTTACCCTGTCTTGCCTCTTGCTGTTACATGTTTAGTAACATCGTCTTATAATTAATTGTACAACCATATTCAAAATTAAATCAATTTATCGTGAAGGTGTCTTTATCTGAAATGATTACATAGACTTCTTCATATTGTGCTTCTCTGATGAACACACCAATTGGTGTATTCAGAAATAGTCTAACAGTCGCTGTTTTAGGCGATTCTGACTGTGATCAGAAAAACAATACCTGTCTAAATCAAAAAACCAAGTATAATTTTGGGAAGAAATACTTTCTACAAATGATTTATTGGGACCTATAGAAAAATGCTAGTCTTACTGTAGAAATGCTCAGTTATCCGAAAATTATTTTGGACATTGTTTAACACAATGGCTATTAGACGAAAACTATAACTGTAAAAATGTCTGGAGTTTATTAGTACTCAGGAAACGTTGTGCTTCCACAAATGCTAATGGACACACAACAAACTCATTTCCGCGATAAACGGCAGGGGTTGTTGAGTAGGCCAGGTATGGATCTAATCCCAGTCTTCTGAGTCACTGGTTAATCATTAGGACTAAACATATATCCTTACAGTGGCTTAGAAAAGCATGACATCCATTTGTAAAGTCATCGTGACGAACTTTACATATGCGGGAATATTATTTAGCAGTTATCAACCTCTCAATGAAAAAGTATGTAGTTGCAAACTATGTATCGATGCTACATGCCGCAGATTCTGTGCACAGCCTCACTACAGTCAAATCGAAACTGATAACATCGGTTTACTAACAGAATAAAGGGACAATGAGGAACCCACAACAACTAAAACCCCACATAGAAAGATAGATTTGCAACACATTTCTACAATAGTCTATTTCGGTGAGACAGTATAAGTCATTTTTGACTGCTTGTAAATACCTAAGACAGTAAACAATATGTGACTGTCAGCAGCTGATATAAGCAGGCATTACAACGAAAACTACTTCTCTTCGGCAGCATGACGGCTTTCCAGTTATATAATCCAATGTACAGAAATAATTACCCATTTATTAATATTGTCAACAAACTAAACTTAATGGATGCATGAGATCGTCATTGTAATCGATTACTATGAGCAGACATAATAGACCTATTTCTTGGGTTATCCACCACTTTCTGATAATATCTACCACCTAAGAATCAATTACCTGACAGAATAGAATAACCACACGCTGAAAACGCCAAGGGAGGTGAGTGAGAAACACCTTTGCTACTGTGTTTCGTGCACGGCAATCACAATATCTAATATACAGGCGACTTTGAATAAAGTTTGAGATTAAGGCATTGCACAGAAAGTCAAGGAAGTAGGTGAAGAAGAATAGCTATCCGTCGGTCAGGATTTTAGAATAAGAAATAAAACAGCACCTATTAAAAACATAAAGACCAAGTAAACGATTTATAGTCTACACGAAAAGTCATGCAGAACAAGAATTTTATCTGACCTTATTGCGCCGCTGTACTGTTTTACTACTACCGATTGCCATTGCCCTAGTAAACAACATTCACAGCATGTAGCACCAAATTCTACATTTTAGATAAACTCAGTGCTGGTTATAAATATTAAGTGGATTACTTTACAAATGTGAGATTTAAACTACAACAATTTACAATTTGCTTAACATTCTTACTGTCTAAAGCACCTTCAGATGATTCATTAGCACACATTTCTGGTTTCTCGAATACCTGTAAGTGAAAAAGTACAAAAAAGCGATTAATAGACAACTGTCAAATAAAAACCAAAACTTTATTTCCATCGTGTTGTCGATTTTTATCGTGCATAATAAAGAAGAGAGTTATTATTTTTGAGTGTAAAATCTTATCACCAAATACTCAAGTGCACCATATCATAATTATTTATTCTCTGGATTCCGAGAGGAATATAGTGCCTCAGCAGCACACCTCAATTTGACTATATTTTCTGTCTTTTTAAATAGGCTCCATGGTTGTCCACAAGCTCTTATTTCCTCTTCACATGATCACGTGCAAAGTTAACGCCTAATATCTGGACACATCACCGATGATCATGAGTTGTTCAGATATAACTACAAATTAAAGCCAGAGTGTTTGGCTATGCTGTGAAAGAATCAATTATATCCAGGTTTCCCATTTCCTGTGCATGCCAAACCATCGTATTCCACGTCGAGAAATATTATATGACAAAGGGTACGACTGGTTCAATCAAAACATATAAATCAATCCATAAAAATTTCGACTGTTGGTTTTTCGCCAATTTAGGAGGGTATACTCGTAAATTTCTTGATTAGTTTGTTGCTGAAATGACTCCATATCTTTCTTAGTGGCGCAGATACATCTCCTACATTCATTAGATTTTAATTTTTCCCCTGTAATAAGTGTTTCTTGTGCACTTCTTATTATTGCAGTGTCTTCACATTTGCTTCAGTTTTGTTCCTTGCCCTTATGCGTACTTTTATGAGGTGTGGCACCTTGAACCAATGTATGTTTGTGCAAATTCCTACTCTGAGATTTCAGTTCAGTTTCCTACATTTAAACTGTATCCCCCCCCCCACCAATCCTTATTTGTTAAAATAATCATTATTCACAGTAAGTGTGAAATAAACATGCTATAGAGATAAAAACTCTGATGTAATACTAAAAAATCAAGTTGAACATGTGATGGTGAGATGTAAAGAAAGAAAACATAAAATCGATTTGATGCACTGTGTAACTATTTCTGATTTGAATATTTCAACAAAATGGTTAAATTGACTCTCATTGAGTTCTGCTTTTTTAATTGCAATGTACTCTCATCACTTAGATGAAAAAAAATACTTTTTTCAAATTAACTACATCGGTGTTCACTGGCAAGTTATACAGATCTAAAATCTCAAAATATTCGTCTCTTTTGAAGACTTAGTATTGTTTTGATTTATGTCATGCATCAATTTATTATCACGAAATGAATGCTACAATCTGTTCCTGTCCTTGAAGTGTATTTTAACATTTTCAAAGAAAAGCCAACACCATTTCACTTAGGAACACAAATGTGCTTTACTACTGAACCATCGATCAAAGAGGTCTCTCTCTCTCTGCCTGTGAACACTCATATACACTTTTAAACAATTCAATACTTTCTATTTTCATTTGTGTAACGAGATTTCTACACTACACTACACATTCACATTCCATTGATTTCATTCGCTTATAAGCTTAATTAATAATATTGATATAATATTCTTAGTAGACTTTCAATGATTATTATGATTACATTATTACTATTATAATTATCATCAGTAGTCTCAGTATTAGTAGTAGTTGTAATAGAAGCATCAGTATTATATATATTTATTATTGCTTAGATGACCTTAATTCAATAATTTTATGGATTTCAGAGTATCTGAAGTTAGTGAATAGACAACTGCAGACCAGTGTTTGTTGTATTCGCTTAAACAATATGAGTGAAATCAGTTATAACTATCGTCACATGATCATCGTAATTACAATTATATTTCTTCTGTGATGATTTGATCTTTGTTTTAAATGAAAACAAGAAAAGTGAATTGATTTGTCAGGTATATACGTAATCCAAGTTATAGATTGCTTGACAAAATGACATATGTTTATCATGTTTAATTACTGCAAACGCATCAATTATCGATGTTGTTATAAATATTGAAGGTCATATTAAATTGCAATTCTACAACTTTCGTTATCTACATTTTTAAAGGAAAGGCATCAGTCTTAATACTGACATATTCAGGGAACACAACAACTGTCATATGTCATATATATCTGTAAGCCTTTCTCTCGTATACACTGCTTAACGCAGATTCACTTTTGACTAGAAAATTTCTCTCTCTTCTGTTGTAAAACAACCAAAATCCATAAAAATATCGGGTATATTTTGTTGAAACTAAATTATTACAAAGACATGGGACAAAGAATAATTATATGCAGCATGAAACATCTTTAATTTCTTAAATTTTAAGCACCTGTAGTTTATTTTACACATAATACATAAATTAATTTAGATCTACATATGGTAATAAAAATCAAAAATACTCCCGATAACTCAAACTAGGGTGAATATTTTATACAAATCTTTTGTAACTTTGTTACTAAGGTACCTATTATATTGCAAGCATAGTTAAAAGAAAGACTCTGTTGTTTACTTTAAACAAGAAAAACAAACATTTATCCATTTGTTTATATAAAATTCACATTGATTTACCATAGTTACACTTAGAGGTGACATCAGTAGTAGTGAAAACAATGTCATATGTCCAACTTAAAGTACAGTTTACTCAAAAATATTTTCATTTATTTCCTTAGGATTTTGAGTGAATGCACTGAGATAAGTCAATTCCCCAAAAGCCGAAACCTGATACTTTATCGTCTTGGAACAAACGTTTAGTTTTTTTTCCTACTTTCATACATCACTGGTCCTCATTTTTCTTTTAAATGTTCCAATAAGTGAATAAAATAAACGCCCAGGGTGTACGTATCGCCGAAATACTATAATTAGCTCAAAAAATATTTATAATTTACCTCCTTCATCACTATTCCTTTTTCAGAATTCACTGTATTTCCACTTTGCTTTTGCTGTATCATACACACTTACCTTAATGTCATTTCACCTTGTCTTCAGTGAAAAGTATGTGAGAAGGCTGAGTCCTTCATGAAAGCAAACTTGACAGTCATTCATAAATTTATTTTAAAGAATCATCTACTTTTGGCTAGCATTGATTTCAGACATAGAAAGATGTGTGTATACTTCTCTTGGTGACCACCAGTATCAAGCCAGTGATAGATTTGGTCATTATAATACAGGTAGTGAAGGGATTAGATGTCATATGATTGGCTACCTACATGTTTCCAAATAATGAGGTAGCTCACGAAAACTCTGCAGCTTAGACACAGAAAAGCAGCTCAGAAGCTCGTGTGTACATATTGCAGAAATGAAAGTCAAGTTTTTATTTGGGAAGAACTGAATAGGCAATAATACAGGCATAACAGCCATACGTATCGGAAAAACTTCACGTTATGTTCAACTAACTATAAAAAAAGGAGAATGAAATTTAATAATATGCAGTCAAAAATAGCTTGCATATTCCTTTAGTCTCAACCAGATTGACAAATGTAAGGGAACTGATCCTGGTGGATTACCAGCATGATGATGAAGAGAGGAAACTACTGAGATGAAACTTATTAAAAGTCATTGTAATAACAACGAACACTGGAAAAAATATCAAAAAGGAAAAAAATGTAAAGATTTTAGCATCAGGTGATTTCAGTCAGTCAGGGAGCCTACAATCGTCTGTCGTACAGCCTTAGACTGAAATTGACAACCCAACCTTACTAGAGGTCGCAAAAGCTATTTCTTATTTAAGTCAAGGCGAAGCAAGTTCTGTTGGTTTGTCTTCTGTGGTATCAATAATGATGTGATAGATAGTCGACCAAACTAACCAGATAGTAGTCAGTGCGTTGGAGCCAAATTTGATACTGTCACACTGATGTACACCCATAAAAAGAACAAATAATTATGTGATAAACCCAGACTTACAACCCTATGAGCACAGTGTTTAATGCACAAGGGTGCATGTCATGAACGAAAGTGAAGAAAATAAATAGGACAGTTAATGGTAGGATTCAGGCCTGGTTCAGAATGTATTACTGTTACTATTATTTGTCATTTGAATTCCATGTGGAACACAGGACTACAGCAGAGCATCTCCATTTTGCCCTGTCTTCTAGTTTCTCTTTTAGATGGCCCCATTCAGCTTCCATTTCCCTTTCACACGATCTCATTTATGTAGTTCTCAGACGTCCAACTCGGATCCCACTAGAGGACCGAGCACGTGGTGGCACTGGATGGTCTTCTGAGCGTATATCCATTACATATCAGTTTTCTTCAGCATATTTATTAGGCAATAGTTTCTTGTCCACTGTTTCGCTACCCTACCAGATCTTCTTGTTGCTTATTCTTTCTGATCGGTCACCTGATCTTCAGTATTGAGCCACAGAAGGCAGATGTTGATGAAAGCCTGCACTAGCCTCTTGTCGATGAGTTCCGTAACGCGATAGACAAGTTCCTGAACCATATAGAATCAGTGACCTCACGGTAGTGTTAAAAATTCTGATTTTATCCCTTGTGCTGAGTGAGCTGCAGATATCCACGCTGATTTCAGAGTGAAGAACACATGTATTGCTATCCCGATGCCATCCCGACTGGCTTCAGCATCCTCATCTGTTCCATCTGCTTGCAGCTGAAATAATGCTTTCAGCTTAGTTAAAGTGGTGTCTTCCTTTATATTTCTTCCAATGTTTGCGATTGCTGTTTGTTATTAATGATGATTGGGTATCTTCATCACTTCTGTCTTCCCATTGCTCGCCTGAAGTATCGGCTTGGTTTCCTATCCCTAAAACTTGTTTTTTTATTACATGTCTTTGAGCTTGTGCAGTTGCAAAAGCGAAATCTCCCTGGGACATCTGACTGGTTCTACGTATGTCCATCTTTTCTCTCTTCACAGTCTTTTAAATGACCAAGTCCTCCACAATCAGCTTTGTCCTACTTCTCTCTTCACTTCAAATGCTTCGCGAAGCTTTTCTCTGTGAATTACTTGGCATGTGCTATCATTATCACATAACTGTTAAATGAAGTATTTAAATATTTAGTGGCACTGCACTACGTAGTGTTGAAGCAGTTATGAAATTACTTCAAGATCGACTTTGTAGGAAAGTTTCTCCAATCCGATCAAGCTGAAGCAGAGAGTAACTTGTTCTGTTCACTGACGATGTATAACTTTGTATTTTGGCCTGTGCCCAACTGGGGATACAGTTCTAGTAGAGGAAGCCTTCCACCAATAGTATCAACAACAACAGACAACGATCAGCATAAATGGGAGGAACCTGAAAGAAACAACCTCTTTTACCTACCTGGGAAGCATCGTTTCAACTACAGGCGGAACTGACGAGGATATCAAAGCAAGAATCGGAAAAGCAAGACAAGCTTTCACTACTCTCAAGTCTCTGTGGAGGTCAACAGCACTCAGTATCAAAAATGAGATTCGGATTTTCAACTCCAATGTGAAGTCAGTGCTACCATACGGATCAGAGACTTGGCCAGCGCGTCATAAAGAGCATCTCAAACAAACTACAAACCTTCATTAACAGTTGTCTTCGCTCAATACTCAAGATCAGATGGCCGACTAGAAAAGATCAGCAACAGGGATCTCTGGGAGCGAACCAACCAAGAACCGACTGTGAAACAAATAGGCAGGAAGAAATGGAGATGGATTGGCCATACTCTGAGGAAACCATCAAGTGACATCACTAGACAAGCCCTTGAGTGGAAACCGAAAGGGAAGCGGCGAGTTGGTCGTCAACGCAAGGGTGACTTGGAGGAGGTCATGTGAAGAGGAGATGAAAACGTGTGGGCAGACATGGAGCCAGGTGAAGACTCTAGCAGAGAACCGAACGCAATGGAGACGCACGGCTGAAGCCCTATGTTCCTCTAGGAATTAAAGGAAACAATAAATAATAATAATAAATGATGCGGCCTGATATTTTGTACCTGATGCACACCACCATGATTTCGCGTTAGTTTTTACATGGATATATACCTCCCCTCTTTGGCAGTTTGAAAAGTTGGCCTTTCTTCCAATCTCTGGGTACCATTCTTCCTTCTACACTGTCTTCCGTAGTTACTTGAGCATTTCCACTTAGGCCTCCGGGTCCATTTTTAGTGTTTCTTGGGAGATTCTGCTTGGTCTTGCTGCTTTCTCTGCTTTCTCTAACTTTATGGCCTTCAAGACTTCTGATTCTACCAGAGGGTTGGTGTTCACTGGTATTTCTGTTTTTGATGTTGGTCGTGACCAAGCTATTTCAAGATGAATTGTAGGTGGTGGTGATTGGGTCTACTTTATTATCTCCAGCTGGTTGCATCTGCATGGATCTCTTTCCGCAGAACAACCTGGTTATTTGGCATAATACTGTGATGCCTCTCTTACTTCCAGCCTGTTACTCTTCAGTAGCCAGCATTTCATTAAGATCTCTTCCGTCTTTTCTAGAGCTGCAGATTGTATACAGCTTCTGCTTTTGCTGTTCATTTTCTTATTCTTTTTCAACGTGTCCGTAGTGAGACATTACACGCCTTTTCTCTTCTCCCTTTCTGAGACAACTATACAGGTTTCCCTCAGAACTGCTTTTACAGAGTTACAGTGTCTCTCCTTATAGGTTTCCTCAGTGATATTATGCATTGTCTTCAACTTTTCCTTAAAGACTGCACTGAAGGCGTCCTTTCATTCTTCAGCTTCTGGGTGTTAAATTTGAAATGAAGGCTTCTAGCTTGACCTCGAAGGTTCCTTTAGCTAGATAGAGGTCTGAGCCTATATCTTCTTCTCTCCTTGATTTTGTATCCAGAAGGCTGCGTCACTGCATTCTTGAGATTAAGATGAAGTCTATCTGACTTTTGGTGGTGATACCTATTACGCCTTTTGAATATCTTTATACTTATACACACTATCTGCAATCATCAAACTGTTAGACATAGAAGCCTGAAAGGAGTAATCCATTCTAAATCAACAATTTATTTATGTTATAACCGAAACCTGTCATAAAACCGATTATTACAAAATGGACTATTGATTTAATATATCATATCTCATATTATAATTTCTTATGAAGTGTCTGTGGGATGACAACTGACCACTGTTCCTAACTATAAGTTCTCCATAAAACTGTATGATTACTACCATGAATGAAGACTTCGGTTTGTTTCTCTCTACTCTTTATTACTTTCGTGTTAACTGTCTATTTCGTTTCGTTTACTAGAGACTTGTACAGATATTTAGGACAAATGGTTTACTTGCATCTTAATTAGCTTAATTATATGTACTCAGACTGGAATTAAGTATCCATTGTGCTGAACATCAAACCATTACTAGCTAGGCTTCAGAGTCACAAAATCTTCATCTGATTCACGTCAGCAGTCAAATGTATAGCTCCACGATATCTTAAACAATTAAATATGAGTTTTGATTTTTATTTGGGAACGTTAATACCAAATGGAGTGCAGGTGAACGTAAATAATTAATCCTAGATGTTAGATGTTAGCCGGTATTGAAAATATAACTGAAACTTTACTAAGAAAAATATTGACACCTCCTCGTTAAGAGATTTTCGGCAACATAAATTGATCGTGACCAGTGAAGTCCATCCAGTCTAGTGTGAGGATGGAGTTCTCATAGATGACATTGGTTGGTGGTCGCGCTAAATCACGAATTGATAGAAGTTAGAATTCATGGGCCGTTGAATCGGGTCCCAGTGGCTGAATGGTATACGAGATTGCCTTGTAACCTGGAGGTCTTGGGTTCAGACCCCAGCGGGTGCATACTGCCGATGATTCCTGAACTAGGATGAAACAGCTGTCCAGTACTCCCTGATTTTTAATGGTCCTCTAAATGATATAAATCCGTGGTCAAACTCGTCTGAATAACTCCATAAAAAAGCAGTAGGAAAGATCGAAAGTTTTACAAGAAAACTCCTCCTTTTTAACTGTCTTTGAACTGCAGCTAGAAAAAAACTTCAGTCAAGCTACTTTTTATTAAGGCCTCTCTACTTGACTTTACAAAAATACTAATTTCTTGTGAGCTATTTGCATAACTACAGAATGAATGAGCGGAGAGGGTATGCGATAAATTTTCAAGCTTTTCAAGATTCCTCATTTATGTTGTCAACAATGTTAATCATCACAGAACTGAACAAACTAACAAAGTTGCTTTAAAACATACTTTCATGATCGGGGTGATAATATCATATGAGCATAAAGCTGACCACAGTATCAACATAAACCAAATAATTTTAAAGCATTTTCAGTTTCCCAGCCTTTATTGATGTGAAACCAGAGAATGCTAGCCTACATGCACTTCTCTGTAAACCCAAGGTTTATTGTGTCGTTGTCTTTAATGCAACTAACTTTGACTGCAAATTAAGGTCTAAAAAACAAAATACATACTTCTGGGGCTCAACAAATTTAGACAGGATTACTTAACTTGCACTATCATTATTGACTATTTTTGTTCTGAAACTGGATAAGATAGTCTAAATTCTCTGCTTAAAAGTAATCAAATAACGAGTTATTCTGCTACATCAGTATAACCTGTGTAAACAAGCATTTCACTAGTGATGCTTAATTTTAAAGAATTTTGTGTAGATAAAATTCATTTACCAAGAATCTATGATTTTACTCGTTTTTTTTGTGTCTGATACATTCGTTTAGGTTCATTCAAATATTATATTGTGTAGAAACTAACAGTAATATGAATACTCTAGTACTATAATTTAAAAAAGTAATTTTTCAGTTAATTTGATTGAATAAAGCCGCAATTTTCTTTCGTCTGAAGATAACCAGTTGAAAACTTTTTCCAAGGCATTTCAGTGTAATGCATAAGTTAACGCATTGCGTACACCAAATAATAAATTTTACTTATTAGGCTCTATCATGTGACAGTGTCTTTATTAACGCACAGGCTGTAATAACTAGTAGTTTGAAAAAGCTGCTTGAGGCATGCAACACATAAGTTTTCTTAAAATGTGAAATGTTTGAAGCTAAATTGCAATACTGGTTGTTTTACTTATTTTTACAAACACTTTATACGTTACTCCGTTTAATTTTGAAACACGCAAATGACTGTCAAATAGATTTTAGAGCATAAGGCGGTTAAAACACTGACTGGTAGTCTTGTCTGGCAGAAACGGTCCTATATGCTTTAAATTACTTCGTTTTACTGAACCTACAGACATTGACAATGTAACTTATTCCAATACGATATGGGAATTTAAAATAGCTTTCGAAAACACCTTGTTTGAACATCTACAACATGATCAGAGTGGAAAACAAAATGAACGTTAGACAAAACAATAAGAAGACGTAATCTGTCTTCAGTATGTCCCTTTACCTTGACGTAAATTTATTTTATCACCTCTTAACTCTTTATTAATTTCAAACATATTCCTATGACAAGTCCGTGTGCGATCAAATTGTTCGAAATGTGTTATGCAAATACATTACACGATTTAGACAAATTACTTCTTCTTATTGGTTTGTCTAAATTAATTAAGGGAACTAACTGTTTTAAAAGTGAACTTTGTTCAATTTAAAAAATGACTAGACAGTTTCAAGAGTCATTTAAATACGATCATCAGTATTGCCGAAATTTTATTACTGCAGTGTCCTTTGCATTTACCCAAACAATACCTTTATAGTGACAGAGGTGTAATTTAAATGGCAGGAAGTTATAACGCCGCATACAAAATTGATACAATGAAGATATTTCGATAAATTTTAATAGTATACTTACTTCAAGTGATAATCTAATCAAGCGTACAACTGTATTTACAGACAGTTGAGCAAATAGGAAATGTAGTGCTCCAAGTGTTGAGGTACGAATAACTCGATTGTTATCGGTACAACAAATCCAGATAAGATCCTTTGTTGAATGATAAACAGTTGAAAGAGAGAAAATTACAGACACAAATGCAGATAAAAGTTAATGTTTAAGACCTTTCAAGTACCCTTAATTTACAACCTGTTAAAGACTTCATAAGCGAATTTCTTTCAGTTTCAAACATCAAAAGTTGGTTTGATATCGGCTTTAATATTTTACCAACAGTTTAATGCAGAATTCATTTACAGAGCAATCTGTTAGGTGTTAGCAGTCAATGAGTCCCTTTAAAATAGTTACACAGTGCTTCATCTTATATTAGTTTCAAAATTCAGCGAAATGATAAAATAGTAAGTGGACAAATTTCTACTTAATCGAGTTCTAGCCATCAGATTTCTGTAGATGTATTAAACCAATACCTTTTAGGTGTTTGTTACTTGATCTTTTCTTTGAAAATAATGTACATAACCTGCAACCGGTTACAACTTGTAAAACAATTCCAAAGTTTTTGAAGAATTTGTGAAGTGAAGGAAACTTCATCATCCTTCATGGGAATAATAACTACTAAATATCATTTCTCTAACTGATATCAATCCGTGATCAACTCGAAACAACATAACTAACCCTTACAAACCGAACTATAGAAAATATCAGTGTATCTTTGCATAATGACAGTAAAAACGTGTGCTTTTGAGAATGGAAAAAGTATCACTTATAATTCGGGAAACAGATTAGTGAATTTCTCTGGTCTTTAATTTGTGAGACACAATTCTCCTCTGTTTGGAAACAAAGTCTGTACTAATTTCTAAGTTTGCATCGAACACCAACCAATAATTCTGTCCTATTAAAATCTCAAATAAAAAAACTAATCTGGAAGAAACCGCTGAAAATTACTAACTTTACTGAAAAACCAGAGATTCATGTCAAGAACTTTTAATGACAATCATTTTCGCAGCTCTTTTGTACCTGAATAACAAAAGACTACTAGGCTTACTCAAAAAGAGTATATTTCTGTTGACAAGTCTTATCCCTGGTCTGAAGTAAGCACACAAGGTAATGTAAGAGCAGAATGTAGATTAATATTAGACAGGATTATTTGATGTAACACGCGGCGATTCAGTGTTAATAACTGGACAACGTTTCGAGCATAATTTATTTCTACTTATCACATCGGTATATTCACATGACTTTGTAACTTGCCTCATACAGTTTTACTCCCCACTGTTAAATATATATATATATATGTTATAAACAGAAGAAGTTATAAACAGATTTGTAGTATTAACCGTGATCTACCTTGACTGTCATAAACATGGTTTCTGGAGTTGAGTCTTCCGGAAGAAATGGTTGCGTTGGGGCAACCTTATTAATGAACTGATGATTAGCTCTTGCCTTAGCGCCACCACCAGCAGTTTCCAAGCCAAAAGTCAACCAATCAACCGCAAACAGTGCCATCTGTTTTCGTGTATGATGCATTCCACGAGCTGTTTAAACAAGATATTAAAAAATCTGACGAAATCAAAAAAGCATATTTAGTTAATTAAACAGTAATTGTTTGCTAAACTTAGTAAAGGTATATCTTATCTAATTTTAAAGATCTTTTTTATCCTGGTTATTTTCAATGTCATTACAAGTTTGGAATAAACACATTTTTACTTCAAAATATGTTGCATAACTACAGGCTTTTGAGCAAACGGTATTAATGTTAGGGGTTTAACTCTTTGAGAAGTAGTAATAAAATGTCCACTTAAGGACTGAAAGAAGTACAGCGACATTCTGCTGGAAACGAAATGGTGATAAAAAGTTCAATCGTGAAAATAAAAATCAGTCTTTATTCACCAGCATAATTAAACTGCCTTCATGAATAAGAAGGATAGGACTACTAAAAGTTGACTATCAAAACCACACTTGTTTACTGTATCAGACTTAGGAATATCACAAAAGCCTTTAAAGTGAATACAGTACTAAGTTCAAAAATATTCGGATTTATTAGTGTCTATGTAGTTGTCACATCGATACATGATTGTACCATCTTGAACTTGTGATAAAAAGGCTTTAAATTGTCTGACCGTCGCTTTATGTTGAAAACTATTAGCTGCAAATTTAATTTCAGTTAATATTAAATCGATAAGTGAAAGTTTGGATTTTTGAAACTTTCATATCATATTGTAAGTGACGCTTTTATTCACTAAAAGCTATAAAGAAGAATTAAGAATGTATAGTATTAGGATTTTATAGGCGTTTAGTGGACTACAAGTCAAATAAAATTCAACATACGCAAAAGTTAAAAAATTTACTGATGTTCTAGACATATTCAAGCTGTCATACAGTCGTTTTATCGAATTCAGGCATGTTTTAACTAAGTTATTTGTTTAGAAAAAGGTTTAGCTTTTATTCAAAGAAAATCCAACAAATGCATATTTGGTTTCTATTGTCGCACTAAGATTTTACCGTTTCTTGAAATTTCCATTAGGTGACTGCTAGTGGTCGGTTTCTTCTGGTGATCTGAATAAGATGAAGCATAAGTATTGAAGTGTGCCAATGGTAGGTTTTTTAACATCGTCTGATAATAGTAAAACCTTCGTCTACCTTGGTTCGAGCTACTGATCGATCATAGGATCCCTTAGGCAATTCTATAATCTTCTGATTAGTTGTAAATAAATAAATCTAATTCCTAATGCTAGTAAGTAGTAGGTAATAATGCTCTACGCCTAGATGCGTATGAATTCTGTGAACTTAATATCCGCTAAAGTTCTCCTGACGTTTGCAGCTGACTTCTCCAAGAAGAAGCTCACGATATTAAGGGAACATTAATATATTTTAAACCCTACACTAAATACCTCTGTGGTGAAGACGTAAACAAACAGGTGAAGATGAAGAAATTTTACTCAAATTTTCTTGAAATGTTCGCTTAAATTTTTTGGGGTATGCAGTTCAGAAATGTTTCAGAGACACAAAACGCACTACTGATAACAGACAATATGCGACTGGAATCAAATGACAAGAACACAGCTTGCAAACAGTTTCACTTTTCTGTATTCTTGATGGTGCTATTCGAATTAACAAGGCAACAGATAAAAGTTGAACCATCGCATAGAAATATTTCAGTTTAATAAGCCGTACATTACAACTACATGAAAAGATATAAATTTGTGCGTTATAAATCTGTGTAATATATCAGTGTCATTGAGTAAAATGAATGGCAGTTAAAGTGAAATAATTTTATACTCTTTGGTTCTTGAATAATTGCAAAATCGAAAAGTGGATTCTATGTATTATGAATGAATGAAGACACTAGAAAACTAATTAGGCAAACACATAAACATTAAGTGGTAGACTTCGTCACAAACCATTAAAAACCAAGAAGTAAATATTCATTTCATTCTAATGCGGGAATCTCTAATAATGCATACTTATCACTCGGTGAGGAATACTGCCAAAGGGCTTTAACTACAAGACAGGCACATTAACATTCTATAGCCATTCAGTCAAGATTCAGTGATATGAGATTTTTAGCCTTTTTAAAACCAGAAATACCATGGCTTAGTAATGTATATATATATATGTTGAAGTTCTCATTGGTGTAAACAACGTTGCATGGGTAGATCAATTGGCAGTAAGATAATTATTTTTTTATTTTTGGGAACCGTAATATTTAACGATACCAACAAGAAACTATGGGAACAAACAAAACAAGAACCAATCGCCCAACAAATATGCAGGAGAAAGTGGAGATGGATTGGACACTCGCTGAGGAGGCCGCTGGGTGACATCACGCGTCAGGCCCTCGAGTTGAACCCGAAAGGGAAGTGGCAAGTGGGACGTCCAAGGGTGACATGGAGGAGATCGTGTGAAGAGGAGCTGAAACAGTATGGATTAACATGGATGCAGGTGAAAAGTACAGCAGAAGACAGAAGCAAGTAGAGACGTGTAGTTGAAGCCCTATGCTCCATTAGGAACCCAAGGGAACAATAATAATAATATTTAACGATGAGATCCACATTTAATTATATACATATATGGAAATGCTAAGATATACTACACTTCAGTGTTACCACACAGGACAAATATAGGCTGTCATGAAATAACCAATGTTCTGTTCCACGAATCTTACTAACTTCATCATTGAACTATGAGACTTTCATATTCATTTTTATTGGTCTGCCTTGAGAAAAGAGATCTAACTGGCCCTTTGGTTATATGAAATATTTCTATTTCCCGAACTTTATGCAACAGACGCAAGATATTTTTCAATGAAATGACAAACCAAACCATTAATACTCAGAAAAATATTATGAAAGAAATCGCACCTTCTTTCTTCCCTATCATGTTTCTTTTTTCACTTTCCTGCCCAGTGTTAATCGAACCAGCTACAAACTAAGTGCTTCGTTCTGAAGAATGGCAGGTTATGAGCTATTTAGACAGTTAATGAAACCTTTGACTTATGTCGTCTGGGGTCTAATTGTCAATCTTTTGAAGGTTAGTTAAATGATTCAGTCCAGCCTAAAACTTTTTGAGGAGTTAGTGAAAACTGGAAGCTCTTACAGGTTATATTTCCATGCTATTATATTCATGAAGTGTAATAGATTATTAGACAAATTAATTTATCCAATTACTCTTCATTAGCAGTTTTGTCAGTGTCATCATAACTGATTAAAAATGGCCATTGAAATTTTTTTCCAAATGAATGGTTACTGAACAAAGAACATTCTTTTCGTCAACTTCATCCTAGATGTCCTCTTTACAAAAAACCAGATGGTGGTATAAAGAGAATTTTGCATCGGAAAAGCAAATGGACAAGGCAGTATACACATTTTCACCGCTTTGTTCCTCTACACTACAAAATAAATTTAGTAAGGACCCTCAGCCATAGGGTTTGATCTAAATGCTCAGAAGAGGTAACTGAAGATGAACTAAGGAGTTTATATGATACCTTGATTGAAAATAGCTATCCAGACAAATTCATCAGGAAACGCATAACTAAGAAAGTTGGAAAAGACTATTCACTATCCATAAACAAGAAACCTTTATGCATACGACTGCAATTCAAAGGCGATATACCTAGCGAAATAATTACGAAGAAGTTAAGAAAATCAGTTCAAAGAACTTACAATCTTGCAAAAATTCAAGTCATATTTCCTACAAAACCGATGGTGATTCCTCAATTGAAACATAAAGTATCTAGACTAGCCAGTTCTAATTGTATCTACCAATTCAACTGCACCTGTGGAGCGAGTTATATTGACCGTTGATCTAGGAACTTGATTTTTCGTGCTAGACAACATCTACCAGTATGGCTAAGTAAAGGTGTGGTAAAAACCATCAACAGTTAGGTATTAGACCATCTGGTTCGAACCGGTTACAAAGCTAGCATTGACGAATCCTTCTCTTTCGTCCACCGGGTAACAAATAAATTGCCAAAAACATCGAGGTACTGCATGCTCCAAACAGCAGAGACTATCGCGATTCACGTGAAACAACCAGTGTTTTGTGTGCAAAAGAAGCAACTCCAGCCACTACTACTGCCTTGGCCTTCAGTGGAAACTATTAGTTCATGAATTTGTAACATTATCTTTCCAAATTTTTCTGGTATTCAGTGTGGTGTTATGTTGATGCGTATTATCACGCTTACATATGTTACTGAACTGTAGTCTGTTGATATTATTGATTCAGTGTTATTGAAACATTAACGTTGTTAATAGCTCTAATTCATTCATTGTTATGGATACATAACTGTATAACCTGATGAAGAAGTTATCAAAAAGAAAATTCCTTGTTCAGTAACCATTCTTTTGGAAAACAATGTCATTCTACTAGCTTATTTAACTATCACGAAACATAATGTGCTTCGAAGATAGAACTTGACTCCAGATATTTTCTCTAATATCTGCATGAATAAAGTAATTCATTAGTTAAAAACCTACCAATTTTCTAACTTACTAAAAGTAATATGTATCACCTCTAGTTATTAGTGGAATATAAAATGACATTTTACGAACTAAGATTAGTAACTTCGACAGAAAGTCTAACTTACCTAGATGAATAGAACTGATAAACATCTTCAGACCGGCCAGAGTTAGGGGAAGATCTTTTATTCTAAAAAAAAATGTACAGCATGTTTCATCAGTATCTCCAGAAGAAAATAATAATGAATAATATGTTCAGTAAAATAAGAAAATTATTACTGTAGGACATTGATGTTTATGTGTATATTTGCACTGAATTCTGGTGTGAATAGATACACAAGTAGCTAGTAAGTCCATTCACATTTAGGAAGAAAATCTCACACTTCCCTCAATCTCCTTTGAGCGACACTTTCTTACATATAGTCAGATATCACGAATACAACAACTAATAAACAGTAATTAGCTTGGTTTTTCTGATGACTTGAGACGCCATAAATAGTAGAAAATTATGCTACATCTAACAAAATTATCTTGTTCACCACTTTTATAATCCAGTAAAATTAATTCTTACGACTGTGAGCAGTAAAATGTGCTCGAAATGTCATTTAGTTATTAATGCTATATCACTATGTTACATAAAATAAACTTATCTGAAATGAAACTCATTAAAATTACTCTACGAAACTTAGAATGATGGCATTGGTAAACGCTGTAATTTACACACAATCTTTGTGTAGCAGTTTCCTGAAGATATATAGTTCTCAAACTACTCAAGGTTGAATATGTGCCTAGAAGATGCATTCCGTAAAACATAAGTACTTTGTTCACAAATCTAGCAGTTAGCTCTAAATGGCCTGTGTCAATAGTCCTTTTTTGAAATCTTTAGACAACTCAGTTCAAAAAACCATGTTTTAAAATTATAGGTTTCCAGGCCGTAGGTGTTACGAACTTCCCGGAATAATCTGGGCACCGATTCAGATTGATTCATTATAAATTATTTAAATTAATCCCAGCGTGTTAAGAAAATCCAAACAAGATTTTTCTGAACGTTTCACTGTGTAAGCCACAGCTTCTTCAGCAGATTTATTCATTTATTTATGAATCTGCTGAAGAAGCTGTGGCTTACACAGTGAAACGTTCAGAAAAATCTTGTTTGGATTTTCTTAACACGCTGGGATTAATTTAAATAATTTATAATGCATGCTTTAAAAGTCCTGTGAGGAGGGAAATATCACTCTACATCCACATCTCACAAAATGTTTTGATGATCGTGAAAAGTATGATATATGACTCTTGGTGATCAAATATAAAAATTATGCTTAATATAGGCAAACTTCGATGGAACTCTCCAAGTCTGTGTACTACAGACAGCTGAAGTATCCACTTAGCTAGAGTAGACTTTGCCTGCTTCATGAAAGTATCTATCAAAAACAATTTTTTACATTGATTATTTACTACGTATTTTAGTGTAAAATGCTTGGTCAATTTAAGAATTTTCAAATATGCATGAGGAATTCTAGGCAGTTTATATATTCCTCGTCTTGCTTTTACATTTATCACAACGCAAATCTCACATTCTGTAACAAAACTGTAGTGGCAACGTTCATCTATCAGCCAGACAGTTTGAGAAATATGATGAAAACAACACAGTAAATATATAAGTTATTTTTCATCAGCATCATTTTTTTAAGATATTGTGACTCAGACTAGCGAGAACTGTTGGGATAAGTTTTTCATTATTCGAAGCAGGTGTGCGCACTAAATGTAGCACAGTCAACTCCTTATTAAACAGATCTGTTGACAGCATACAATGACCTTTAATATAATTAGCTCTCTAATGAAACTATTTAATTTTTATAATACTTATTTTCATGTGTGTATTTGTATAGTTTAGTTTTATCTACCGACTGTTATGTTAAACACAGGAAATTGTTGAACCAAGTGTTTACTCTCCACTTCACACTAAATACTCATGTTATCCATGCTGCTATCCGCAATAAATTCTGTATTTTCATATTTTCAGATAAAATATATCTTTTGTAACATCTTGACATAACTTTCCTAGCTTATAAATAACGACAGGTGCATGAAGCTAAGCAATTGTTCAGAGATACGGTATTACAAATTGAAGTGTTCATCGACGATGCTAACTGCCAGATATTATTTCCGATTTTGCAAAAAAGGTAAACATACTGCACTCGTTCTGGTCAAAAGAGTAGTCCCCATCAATGCACATTTAGAATTATCTCACTTTCCTAATCTAGTTTGTAGGAAGTTTTAGTTGAAAAAACCTCTTCTCCAAAGGTCGGGAGAATACAAACGCAGGTTTCCACAATAAATATGTTTACTTGATAAAATACGCTGGTAAATAGTTTTAGTTCCTATTTTATTCTTAAAGTCCAATTTCTGCTTCATAACCCTATTATTAGGCAATAAAAGATGGTCTAAACATCAAAAGCAACACTTAACAATGGAGCAATAAAGTAAAAATTGTAGATTTTTCATTAGTAAGCTGAATATAGTGGCTCTAACTTGAAATAAGGATAAAAACTTTACTCTAGGCTATAACTTATCTTACTGAAGTCTAAAACTGAAATGGCAAATATTTAAATATCTCCTAGATTTACGGGTGTCCTGATGTGGGCACAAAAACTTTCACAAACATGGGAACAACACTTCTCCCTCATACCGAAGTCCTAGGTGCGAAAATATTGTTGTATTTAAGGCCTAAATTTCTCCTACAAACTATAAGCTTAAACTTTCGATCAAATCGTAATTTCTTCGACCTCCTCATAAGGTTCAGTGATTACAAGGTTTTTAAGTTCAGTGCAAAAGATACTATTCAGTAACACAGATCTTCGCTATTTATAATTAATTCAGAATTATTAAACACAATTTTAAGACAATAATCCTCCTAAATAAAGTTTTCAAACATGAACTACAGCTAAAGATTATCTGTTGCTTTGCTAAGAATCAAAGCACTCTGTTTCTTAATGACATTTTTAGGAAAATGAAAACTCACAAATTTATGAGTTCAGTAGTGAGTAAGATGATTTTATCTTTCATTTTTAGCTCTTCATCTTTGGACAGATTCCTATATCGCTGAGTTGCTGAAGGAACCAATATCTGAGATCGCACATCGTTCAAATCAATATCCTTCCATCCGTAGCAGCGGAAAAATATGTATAAGATCAACCTGTGGCAAATAAGATGCAGTTAAAAGAATTATGATATTGAATGACCAGAGAAAAATAATAAAAACTGGCCATGTCATTAAATTTTTAACATATCTTTCGCAAAGAATTGCCCATAAACTGATAACAAAAAATAGCTGTAGTGGATGGATTGTAAACTAGCCGAGCATGTCACCTGAGACAGATTCTCATCATGAATAGTTTGAAGACTTCATAAATCCGAAAGCAGAACCAGAACAGTAAAGGACAGTTTGCTGCTTATGTTTGTTTATAATTACGTCACAACAATCTCTTAACCTCTAATTTATTACCACAGACATCTACTCACTTCAAACAAAATGGTCATTTAATCGCTTTTTATCGCCACACTGTTTGATAAAATGCACAGAAGAGTTCACAAAATGTGTACTCAAGGAACTTGTTCAATAGAATATTGATTTCTAAACGTTCTACGTCATTCTTACACAGAAGGGAGGTGCAACTTGAGCACTCAGCTTTTAGTAATTAGGTCTAGAGTTTGAACCCAATCCTACTGACTTCAACCAAGCAGTTGGGTAGTATCGTTAACACTCAGACAATAGGTGTAGTTCATAGTCTAGAACATGAAAGTCATGCATCGCGGAGTGAATTCAAACAACAACATCCATATACACAATATTTTGAAGTCAGTAAATCTATGACAGTAATTTGCATAAAATAAAAAGTGACTTTTGGGGTTGGCACAGAGACTTCTGACTACAAACAAACTGACCATGAAGATTTGAAAAATTCTTATTCTCAAACACACTCGACAACTTGCTTCTTGATGCCGTGTCTATTTTCACACATGGTTATGAACAAACCATGTTTGTTGGTCTAAAATGTTAATGTATTTAGACTAAAACTTGATACTGGCTTATTTTAAATACTGTAAATCATGTCAACGGTTTGGGAGCAAATATTATTTTCTATCTGCATTGTTTTGTAATGTCTGGAGATGAGCACTCACCTTATCCCTGAAGGCCGGTTGTAAAACGTGGATCTCCAGATGTGCACACTGCATGTTGCTCAACAGAGTACCGATGTCAGTGACAAGGTTATATAAAGCTGGTTAAGCTTTTCAAACACTGATAACTTTAAACGAGCAGTATATGACTAACTCCAAGTACACATTTTTTGCATGTTCTGGCAGAAGTCACAAGAATATATCAATTCCTGTGGGATTTTTAATTAAGAAACATCACTTTGTACGTAAACAGATAAAATTTGGGCAGTATCAGCCTCCTCCAACTTTCTCTCCCCATTTGTCTTCACCAAAATCTTATATTAAGACTACATTACCATTTTTACCCGTCCTAGCTTCTCTTCAGCTTACAAGTCTTTTTAACTGTTTAATCATTCAATTATGCAGACAACTTTATTTGAAAATAATATACCAAACCAGATAAGAGGTCGACATTTTGGAACATTAAGCACTGACTACTTGTTATGTTTTTTGATGACAACACTCCCTCACATTTGATCGGTCTATTCAGTCTGTAAACTTTTTTAAATGTGTCAGGAGCTCCTATCAACAAGATGATATCAGAATAGTGCTTTTGTCAAAAATGCGGATAAAAGCAACCTAAAGGCGAGTACACCAACTTTTAACTATGTGTATCAGTATTCAGTCTATAAAAAAGCATCGGGCATGAAATTACCAATCAAAGCACAATAAAAGTTAACAATGTTCTTTTGCTTTATATGGTGATTGACATAATGAAGACTTATTCCGGAAGGTGATAACATTTAACAGTTGTTAGACCTCCTTAAATATTCCGATCGAGATATTATGATGATTAAGGAAATAATCCCAGTAGAAGAGATAGATAATCAGACGGTCAGTATAACACTTGAGAAAAAATTTTATCTGGCTTGATCAATAGCTTTAGTGGCAGTTATTCCACCATTAGTCGAAATATGTGGGAAATATTGTTGCTGTTACTTTATAATACTTCTGCTAAGTTATTTGACAATATTTTAGAGGCTTGTCTTCTTTCAGGTTTTTGAACTTAGTGTGGTTTTTTGAAAAGTAAATTACTCACATCTTGCTCATCGAAATTTATAGAAGGAAGAAGATCTGAGCCAATACACACATAATAACTGCAGACAAGTCCGAACTTATTTTTCTAAGTTTTAGTCATCACTATATTTGTATGTGATAAATTAGGAACGATATGATAAATACGATATTAACTGAGCTGTCTCTACAAGTCTTACAGCTTTTGAAAGTAAGCATTGCTTCCGGTTACTCTTCGGATTTAGATAGTAATTCATCATTTGACTTAACTCAGTCGCACTCATAAAATGCAACAAAGTTCATTGGATTTGTCCAAATATAAACATTATAAATTACTAAATATTATATACTGGCAGTCATATATCTCAATTCGACCCATATTTAAGTGTTCGCAGTTGGGAAACACTATATGAGTCTCAGGGGATCTGTAGTAAAAACAGCTAGAATGTATTTACTTAGTGTTTATAATATTCACGAACGCCACTAATATTCCCGCTTACGGAAACCGAGTAATTCATTTTAATCCCTGTGAATCCAGCAATAAATCACAACAGATCACTATGTTGCCAAACTTAGGACTCAGTATCTGTGATATAGGCAGATGCACACTTCTGTGTGAAGTGTACATAGTTACCACTGAATTTGTAGAAGAAAATCAAACTTGGATTTACTCACCAGTCGCTTTCTTCGTTAACAGTCCATAGGCCTCCGCAGTCTTTGCTTAGACGACCCAGCATTTTAAACAATATTTTCATGCCACTTTGTTCAGACTGGCTGGTGTTAAATGTACAGAGTTCGCCTTTCTCACAAGAAAGGGCTAACCCATGTAATGCTGTGAGAAACTCGTAATCCTTTGCAACATTGTTTATTTGCTGGCATTTTAGGCCTAAATGAGATATCCCCGTGTCAACTTGCATACTATAAGCTATAAACACGACTACACATTACTAAAACTGAAATGTGCACAAAATTAGTTGATCCACAGCCTCGTAAAACAACTAACTTATGAATATACTGCACTGGAATATCATCATTTTCATAGGTTATCATTAATTTTTGTTGTTTTGTTTAGGAAGTGGTCTCAAATTTACTGCTGTCGCAGAAAAGTAGATCGGGATATTGGTGTCAACCGTAGTCAGATGTCATTGCTAGCGCCTCTGTGAGCATTATAAACATTTGTTTCCTGCTGCGATTTTTCTCAATGACCTCTTTTATTCGAACTAACTGTGACTTCTTCCTTTCCTTGGCGATTTGTTTAAACACGGGCTACAGAAAACTCCCATCGATATACTGTATACAGTTTCTCTTATTCAGCAAAATATGACCTGTAATGGTATTGCTTACTCTGATAAGTATTTAAAATATTTAGAGCCTGCTTATTCGCAAGTTTCTACTAAACATGTGAATAAGTATTATCCTAGCTGGCAGCCCAACCCAATGCACGAAATAACTGTTCTCCGGTTGCTCCCTTGGTTCCCGAAATGTAGTCCTGAACTTTCTGTAACTGGCGTTTAAGTAAGTGTCGTGCATTTTTCGAAGGCAGAGAAGAAGATATATCATACTGGATTGAGCTCCAGGTCAAGTAGAATATTTTCACAAGACCTTCCGCCAATTAGCATTTTATTCGAAGATCCTGGGAGAAGAGGGCGTTTCATGCAATGATCTTCGCTGAAAATTCTGCAAATTACATAAAAATGTCCAGAATGAAGCTGTTATTACAACTACCATTCTCAATGTATATTACAGTTATTAGCAACTGAACTGCTGTCATTTTGCCATTTTCTTGTTTGGATGCCAAGGACACTTCCTTTTCATCGTTTACCGCTTTTATAAAGCTGTGTATATTTCTCCTTTCATTTCCCCAATGTGACGACATTTGCCTAGTCTTTCAAACTAAAGATTTGTTTACCACAATTTTAGAATAGAGATTTGCATGTTCTGTAACGATTTCACTCCAGTATCCGGCCAACTTCACTACTTTCTTTTCCATTTGTTTCTTTGGAGAAGCGGACCCTTATATATTGCGAGGTGTAGTCTGTTTGATACAACCATATTGGATATAATTATAATAAAAGTGTTGCATTTTGCTGGCATTACGTGCGAAATATAATACTAATTACGGGCATATGTCGTGGTTGAATGCTACGCTTGCAAAAATGTACTGTGTGAAGTTTATTAAGGATATTTCAGGTTAGCTGCGGAATACAAACTCAGTTTCAATGTTTTAGGTAAGTTCGGTTGACATATAATATTTCACGGTTTAAAGCCCTCAGTCTAGTTTACTAGTTAGGTTGCCTGAACAACTTTGAGTTCGCTTTCCACTGGCTTCAGCTAGAAATGACGTCCATGATTGCTGTGTAGCCACCTATCTTGCTTAGCCTGAGCTTCGGTAACATTAACTGCTGACTATTTAGCCTGGCCACAGGTTTAGTGGGTCAGGCTATTCCTAACACTAACGGTTGCCCAGGGGTGCATTTATTACCAATAACATGAAGGGATTGTAGAAAAACGCCATCACATAACAACGCACACAGGAAGCTCTTGTCCCTAGTAAAGTTACTAGTAGGCCAGGAGTTGGGATCTTCCAGCAGAGCCTTCGTATCAATGCACTAACCGCATATAGTCGGTAGACTATGTCTTTTAATTATTCTGAGTGTTGGCAGCTCTTGTTTGCCTACAAAATGAAGCCTATAATCTTTTGCTCACTTGACTTCAGGCTTTATTTTTCCCCAAGTATTTGTGATCTATCCAACACGGACTTGGGTTTTTTATGTTGACGCATAGATAATACTGCTATATCCCTTAATATGCTCCACTGAATGACTAGTTAGCAGATTAATTTGGGAAATACTTATTCATGCTTGTACATAGACGGGAATAAGTAAATTATTAAAACAGAAATTCACAGTGCACAAAGATACTACCAAAAATCGTAAATTTTAGTCAGTAAATAACCAATTAAATTGGTCGCGCAAAGCCAGGCTTGAGGGTTATCCAGCCACATTTGCGTTAAATACGATTGCCCCAGAATCCTCCTCCGGTTTCATCTGCAAATTTATCCACTTTGATATTAGTCAAAATTCAGGAGTACCTGACAAAGGGATTTAACTGCCATGCATTTAGCACAATTCCTGTCCATTCTCCACAGGACTTATTCGTGTACACTGCATAATATGACCAATTTTTTCGTTGGATACTACATGAACTTCAGGGTCAGCACAGGTAACACACTCACTGTTGAATCATTCCTTCCCAGATGGAAAGGTAATTTCTACTACGTACTGCGCCATGAATAGTATTCGGCTCCCAATGTAGGCAATATGAAATCCCCTCCTCGTAGCAAAAGTGATGCGGTAGATCACTCTCACACTGTTAGCAGGTTACGTCATCTGATCTACGTTTTACTTATCAACCTATTTTTCAAACTAAGCTTGTTTTGACAGTCACTTCAACATTTGCAAGTAGTTCTCAACACCTATTCATTTTGTTTGATCAGCTCCTGCTCCTAACCCAATATAAAATGATCAAGATCGCGACATTATCTTCAAAATGCAATGAGTCACTCATAAAGATAAGCTGACGTTGATGTGATGAGCCCCCACAACATGCTATGCTATGACTAATCGGAAGAAGTAAGAAACTGAGGAACTCAGAGGGACGGAACAAGAAACCAAGTACGAACTGTAACTTCCTTATGATTTTCAAGACTTTCTTTATCCACTGAATGATGTATGGCCTTCCGTTTGTTTGTCCAGGTTATTCCCGCCTTGCTTGCAGTGCCATATTATCGAAGATAAAGGCTCATAAACACCACCGGTCTTCCATAATATCATGCGCTGTAATTTGTAATTTGAATGGTTATTTAGATAGAAAAGCTGGCTCCCACACTCGTGATCCCGAAATGATTTATGTTGGCTCAGCCCTTTCAAGCTCTAAATTATCATCCAATGCTTGTCATGTCACATATTTGTGTTTCCTACCACAGAGAGAACCTCAGCAATAATTCTAGCAAGTCATCCTCACTTGTCTTTACTATTTCTTATTAAACATAGGTTATACTTTCAGGAAGCTATTTCGAGTCAGTTCGATGGAAGCATACATGCTAGCATAATCAAGATGCTGCTGGTTGACAGACACACCTCAAGAACAAGAAGTAACCCTGGCGAGTTTCGGCCTAAGTAGATATTTTTAAACGGAATTTATCGTACTACTGTCGCAAGCTTTGGCTTAGCATTCATTTTCCTTGAGCACTTAGCGCTTTTTGTTACTACTGTAAATACCGTTGTACATCCGGTAGACTGACGTCATTCTTACCATTTTATTTATGCTCTGCATTAGCTAATTTTCAAATCACAGCAAATAATACTCACATGAATGCCCAAGTTGTCCCAACATACCAACACGGAAGTGTTGCATTCATCTAACCGTGGTTGGTTACAGCCTCGATTCAACATCACCAAGTCAGGTAGTAACAATGAGACATGCAGCATTAGCTCTTCACCCAGTAGCCATCTACTCAATGTTAACGAATATGTAAGGTGTTATCCGTATCCGTAAATGACTTTCAATCCATAAATAGTTCTGTGGTCATCATAGCTAACGAATTCATCTCCTATTTGCCACACTGTATCTGAATCTCAGGTGTGTGCTGCGATAAAATTTTAAGTGCCTCATTGACCATGCTAATAATGTGACACTTATATAATAGCACTCTCTGTGGGTATATTAGAAGTCTTGCAATTTTTCAGAACCTCAGTAATCACAATGATTATATCCAACTTTCGATCCATTCGTGTGTACAAAAATCGAGTCTTTATACCAGCTACTTAGTGCTTCGATCAAGAAATGTCTCACCAACTAATTCGGCACCAGTGACCACGCCATTAATATACACCATCATTATTATTATTTCCTTTAATTCCTATAAGAACATAGGGCTTCAGCCGTGCACGTCTCCATTGCGTTCGGTTCTCTGCTAGAGTCTTCACCTGGCTCCAAGTCTGCCCACATGCTTTCATCTCCTCTTCACATGACCTCCTCCTCCATGTCACCCTTGCACTGACGACCAACTCACCGCTTCCCTTTCGGGTTCCATTCGAGCAATGGCTTGTCTAGTGATGTCACTTGATGGTTTGGTTTTCTCAGAGTATGGCCAGCAGATCCACCTCCATTTCTTCCTGCCTATTTGTTTCACAATCGGTTCCTGGTTGGTTCGCTCATTGCCAGAGATCTTTGTTGCTGATCTTTTCTGGCCATCTGCTCTTGAGTACTGAGCGAAAACAGCTGTTGATGAAGGTTTGCAGTTTGCTTGAGGTGCACTTTATGACGCGCCAAGTAGCACTGAGTTCACACTGAAGTCGAAAATCCGGATACCTATGAATCACCATTATAGGTATTGTCATACTGAAACAACCACGAGTCATGACAGTTATTTCGAACAAAATAGTCAGGCACAGATGCTGGTAGTATTGTTGCCTGATTACTGCCCACGGTTACTTAACGCAGTGGAATTTCTTCACCGTTTCAACAAATTCATGGATGATCGTGAGGTGTGTACAGGTGCACTTAAACCTATTTTTACACCATCCTATCAATTTAACGGTGGTATGCCCATCTGCTCATTCCATCACTTGGGTCTAAAGCCTAGCAGTCGAGTAAACCCCCTGCATGCTGATCAGCTTTTCGCACCTACCCCAAGGCTTAAAACCATCTCAAAAAGGGATTAAACACTTGGGTTGGGAGTTATCTTCCCCGTGGTTTCACCTCATACTCCAGCAACCGATGGACTACAGTTCCACCCATTATCATACAGTTCAGTGATCCCACATAAAGCCAATAGAACTGCTCTGTCATTAAGCAAAATCAAATCACAGGCTAAATGCTCTCGGCCATCTCTTGTATCACGCCTTCACTTCAT